ATTCTTTAATGAATTAATTACGAATCCTTTTTTATGTTGGTTATTTAGATGATACTTTGTTAGATATTTTCTTTTTTTTTCTTCTTTATACTGACACACCTCCGATGTGGGAGTCGGATTCCTTGTTTACAATTTTTCGTACTTGCTATTACATCGTTTTTTGAGCGGTATTCTACATATAGTCTTACTTTTTATTTGTACTTTAGATTTACAGTATTTTTACATTTTTCTTATATTTATCTTATTATTACTAGTATTTGTTATTTTTATAACTTATTACATATTCCTTATTTCTATTACATATACTTACTTAGTTCTATCTCTAACATTTTACTTTTATACTAAAATTTCATGTACAATACCATCATAATGTTGTTATGGTGGATTTACAATTTTCATACTTATACTGTTTTACATTGTAATGGATATAGCACTTTTTTTCTAAGTCTTAGTGCTATGTCGTTTATTCGCTATTTTTGTAATAAAGGAACAAAATGCTAAAAATATACTGGGATATTGTTTATTTGCTAGAATAGTGTGTAGGTTGTCTAGTTTGAGTTCCATTTTTATATCTGCTTCCAGGTCATGGCGTGCCATGCAGAATCTCGGACAGTTAATAATCAAATGAATGCTTTCTTAGATTTACGTCTTTTAGCTTTAGATTACGTTTTGACCACATTAAAACAAACGTTACGTAGTATATCAAAGAGGTCCTTATTTTTAACGTCGTCGTGACGTAGTTTCCTGATCCTTGTTTCAAGATGCACAAAATCAAAAATCCCATGATAAGTATAAAAATATTCTCAACTTATAACATATCCCAAACCTCAAACATAATCTTTACTTACATACCATTTGCAGCCGGAATAAGCCCTAAAATTTTTAGAACGCAAAATTTTTATGAAACGACTAGCAAACTCACCCTCGCTTCTCTCTGGTTCGTGTCTAGTTACGTTATAAAGTTTAGTATAGATTTCTCAGAGATGAGATATTTTCCCGCAGTAAAAAATATCAGTATCAGTAAATATGTTGACCCAGATAAACAGCTATCATCATATCAAATTTCATCAAAATCTGTCCAGTAGTTTTCTCGTGATGCGATCAAAGACAGACAGGCAGACAAAAATTCTAAAAACTATAGATTCTACTTCTGCATCGATAATAATAAGATTTACTGAAAAATATTTAATAGCATAGTACAGATTCGACTCAGTTAAAATTTTATTATTATTATTATATTCTTAGGGGATTCTTTGAATTGACATAACTTTTTTATTTATGAACCGATTGAAATAAAGCAAATACTAAATGTTAATTAAAGTTTTCCACAATACATTTGCCGCACAAGCGCACAGACAAACAGACAAAAATTCTCAAAATCATTGCTTCGGGTTCTGTTCTGTCTGTTGCGTTAATAGAGACTCCCAAAAATGGTTTTTCTCAAATATCTTCCATGTACAGACAGCGATCACTTACACTTTTATTATATGTATAGAAAAGGTTGTAGGAGTTTACTTATTGTTTCGCTTTAGCATACTACATAAAGTATTAGGGTGCAAAATCTGCTACACTTGAATCCTGCGACAAACTAGATATTAAGAACGGCTGATTCGTATAAGATTTAGAAACCTTTGTATACTGAATGGAAAAAACAACACAAAAAGGCTTCAAGGTAGTTAAAGTAGTTCTTGCATCCGTTTAAATCCAAAAATTTTAATACAAATGGCTATTTCGAAACCAATTTTATAATTTAACTTCGTAAAATATATTTTAAATAAAACTATCTTTTCGGATTATTTCCCGGATTTATTTTATTTTTTGTGGTATTTTATTTAAAATGTCAAATGTTCGCGTAAATCTAAGAAAGTATTATTGCTGAATTTATAAATATATAAATATGCAAATTTCTTACTTTATCGCGCAGATATATTGCAAAAATAATATTATTTATTATATGAAAAAGCTCATAACAGTATATCTATTATCTTTTATATTTATTTGTTTTTAAATTTTGAAATTTAAAATAGCTTTTATTTCAAAAAAGATAGTAGTATAAAAATAAGAAAAGATAGAAGTATGAAAGATTTTTTAACGTATTTATGACATACTTCGTATAAGTCTATATAAAAATAAATTATTTTTATTAAAAAAATAAATTACTTATAACTTGCCCGGAAAATCAACTGAATTAAGTAAAGGAATATAAATTCGCGGTGAGTCTCGGCAAAAGTAGTTTTCACCTAGTGGTCAAAATTCGACTATAATCATTATTGAATATTTAGGAAAAACGTAATATATGAATAGAATTTATCTATCTATATTTAAAAAAAACTTTCTATTTTTTTATTAACTAGCAACTTACCATTGCTTAACTCAGTCCCTAGGTGCGTTTTGACGCTTTGTATGGAATAGATTTTTTTAAGATTCTTTTGCGTGATTTTTTTTGATGTTTTAAAAGTTATTCTGCTATTCGAAATGACGTATCCAACAAAATAAAGACCATAAATATCGGTCCAGCAGTTCACGAGTTATAGGTGTTGTATTTTGTGTGAATATATATACAAAAAATATTCGCTATTTAAACATAAGGTCAGCAAGAAAACTCAGCTTTTAAATAATTTTGTCATCAAACTGTATTTCTCTGGGGTACAAAAACAGTTACAATATTAAGTAAACATTATATAAACATGAAATCATTTTACAAGTCTTGTCGTGATTTGATTTAATTACATTTCTAATGCTAAAAGTGGAACTTAGAAAAGAGTAGAATTAAAAGTACAGCGTACATGAGATATATGAACATCACTCTAAAATGTTTCTTCGCACTTGCTAAAGCAAGAACTTATATAAAAATGAAATGTTAAATTTTTAATCATCCATTATAACTCTGAAGTTATCCAGAAATATTAAATGTTTCATATTAAGTACTTTATTTACTTTATATGAATATTTTTTTCATATTATTTACTTTATATGGATAACTAATTGATACATAGCTTACAACCCGTTCTCCCTCGCATTGAAGGGAGGCCCAGCAGTGGGACGTTAAAAAGGGCTGTATACAATACATAGCTTACTATCCCGATTCGAGTACAAACAGACCATGTTTTTTTCTCTAAAGTATTAAATTCTTCATTTAGCTATTTACTACAAAACAGATTCATTTCTCATCATCCCTGAATATACGCACAGACACAAATGCACTCTCTATTCCATTTACTCTCATAGTCCGATGGGACAATACTTGGGAGAGTTAAGGCGCAGGACTGATGGCTTGACGTGCTTTCCGAGGCACGGGGGTGAAATACCGTTAACTTCCCAACACCGGGCTGTTTCTGTGCATTTCTTGACAGAAATACTCAGTAACTTAACTTGGCCCGACCCGGGACTCCAACTCTGCATCAATGATCCTTCGGATCTGCAGCCGTACATGCTAGCAACTAGACCACCGAAACAGTCTCAAAAAATACTAACTGTTTGACTGTATAATATTATAGAGAATTTATAATATTTATACTCTATATTATATTTTTATCTCTATATTATCGCATATACATTTATTATACGAGTAAGTTATTTTAGAAAATATGATAATTAAATAACTATTTATAAGCAAAGCCATAAAAAAATAAAACTTCCAAAACCTACGAAAAAAACAGGAAAAATAATTAATGAAAAACTTTTGCCAACAGTTCTGTGAAGACAGAGGTTTTGCTAACTTAATAATTAGGTAGATTTGATTACCGTTTCTAAATATATATATATGTATATTAACCATACTATCTAAATATACTATCTAAATATATCTAAATATATAAATATATATTAAGGGTTAATTTAACTATCCTTTGTCCTTCCCATGATCTCAAACTATCTATATATACTAAATTCTATACCAAAATCTCTATACCAAAATCGTCTAAATCGGTTTAGCGGATTAAACGTGAAAAGGTAAGAGTCAAACAGACAAACAGAGTTACTTTTACATTTACCTATATATTAGTATGAATATATATATATATATATATATATATATATATTAATCTTATTTCATATTCCAATTTTTTATTGAAAATTTTATATTTTATAAAAGAAGTAATGTTACTTATCAATAATAGAATGTAAATTATTAATTAAAATTGTTAAAATTGGATGATTAATTTATTATTCTAATTTCATATTTATATACCTACAACTAGTGACTCACGTTCGCTTCGCTTGGGTTCGTCCCTAGGTACGTTTTAACGTTTAGTATGAAATAGAAATCTTTGAATTTCTCTCCTTTTGTGTACTATATTAAAAAACCGCATCAAAATCCGTTGTGTAGTTTTAAAGATCTAAGCATACATAGGGACAGACAGACAGCGAGAAGCGACTTTATTTTATACTATGTAGTGATTTTATACTGTTTCTTATTTATATTTTAGCGGACCCCGCCCTGGTACTTAATCCTTATAAACATCAGTTCATCAATACAAGCACTAAATAGAGATTTTTCTACAAGATCTTCGTGTATCGAGAAACAATTTTAATCGTTTTTTCTTATTTTATTGTGAATCCTATGGGAAATTAACATATTAATGGTCATAATACCCTAAAATATTCCTATAATGCAAAGCCAAACAATTATTTAAGCTTTCAATGACGTGAGACAGATCCAAAACTTTATGAAATAAAAAAAAACTCAATTAGAGATTCCTTTATATAATTCAAATAAAAGATATAAAAAGTTTTGTTAGTTATTAATAAATCTAAAACTTTGTACATATAGGTAATAAATTTGTATAAACTTCAGTAATTGTGCTCTTTTAAACAGTAGCACGCCGTGGTTTTTATCAAGCATACGTTAGTTAACAATTATTTCATAAATAAAACTTATCGCTATATATACACAATAAGTTTTTTTTTATTTATAAACTTAGAGATCTACGCTTATATTGGCAACAGCCTGTCTGTAATATTATTAATTTTGAAGTCTCTAAATATAATGTTATATCCTAAATTTTTTTCCCCAAAAACTGTTGAATTTCTAATAATGATTTTCCTTTCGTTTCTGGTATACAAAATATTGTAAATACAAATGCGCATACGCATGATAAAGAGAAAAACCAAAACATTACATAAGCTCCTAAGAACTTGACCACGGACCCAAAAGCCGTAGATATTAAAAACCCAAAAACCCACGCAATGCTTAAAACCACAGCTGAACCTTTGCTTCTAACGTTTATTGTAAACATTTCTCCAATCAAGGTGAGTGGTAAAATGCCAAATCCTGAAAAAATAAAATTATATGAACTATTAAATGTGCTGCTTTTTTTGTTGTAGGTTCAAAGGTTATTAAGGATTTACTCCCTTTTTTTACATATTATAATTTTATATACTTTTTATGATCTTATTTTACCGACCAATCTTCGTGTCTTCTCCATTCTACATTGGCGAAGTAATATGTGCTCAATACTTTGAAGAACAAGAAAATTGAATTGAGTTGAGTTGAGTTCAGTTTAGTTTGGTTTAGTTGAATTGAATTAAAATGATGATATGAACACTTATTTTTTACAGATCTCAATGAAAAAGGATTCCAATACTTATTATCACAGACATCGCAAAAAAAACTAAGATTGAATTTAATTAAAATAATTTAATTGAATTTTAAAACCCTTTACATTATGGCAACTATATAGAGCACAATAAAATTAAGTTTAGCCATAAACATTACATTTACATATTACATATAAATAAATAAAACCAGAAATGAATATAGTTTTTTTTCTTACCACATTCATAGCCGATGAAATGTATAGTGAATATTGCCAAAGGTATCCATTGAACTTGGCTTATTCCGGATACTTCTAAGTATTGTAGATAAAAATATAAGCCCATAAAAAACTAAAAATATTGTAAAATATATTTTTTATAGCTTGGCTTTATACCTTAATTTAAATATAACTTAACTTAAAATATTTTTGTAAAAAATAACAAAAACGCTACTATAAGCAATTTTAAGTCAGAAAAGCTTTATATAAAATACTATCAATTGATACCCTTACCATAGTCACAGAACAGACAAAAGTTGATATAAGTAATAATTTTTTTGTTCCAGTTCTACTAATTAAAATAGGCGATAAAATGCTTCCTATTAGTTGAATACATCCAATAGCAATCATTGATATATTAGAATTTATCATAGATCCAGCCATTTCAAATATAGATGCAGAGAAAAACAAAATTGCCAATCCCCCACTAAACTGTTGCAAAGTGTTTAGAATTATCACTGCAAATAAAGCTTTTTTGTTTGTTCTTAATTTAAAGAGTTCAATCCAATCCATTTTATCGTTTGTTGATTTAAATTCCTTTTTTGTATCCAGTAATTTATCTCTTTCGTCCATCCTTCCTAGTTTTAGCAAATTGTTGATAGCTTTATCTTCTTTGTCTAAAACATATTATGAAATCTATACATATAATAAAATTCTAACTAAGTCGAATCTGTACATTAAATATTTTTGGGAAAATCTTATTGAAATAAACATTATTATCGATACAGAGGCCGAATCTATAGTTTCTAGAATTTTTGTCTGTCTGTCTGTTACCGCATCACAGGAAAACCACTGGAGGGCTTTTGATGAAATTCGGTATGGTGATAGCTGGTTATCCGGGTCAACATATAGGATACTTTTTACCTCGGGAAAATGTCTCATTTCTGATAAATGCAATGCTAGTAAACTATATAATAGCAATAATAATAACTACACATAAAATAACTAAATACACTTTTACAATAATTAATATACTTTCTTGGATATCTTTAAAAAAAACATCGAGATTAATTAATAATAAAGTTAAATCTTTCTTGTGATAACTTCTTGAAAATTTTATTATTAAAAATATATGAAAATAGTTATTACCTTTTAAAACAAAAAACAAGGGTGATTCAGGTATTGATAAAACCGCCACGGTAAATAAAATTGACAAAGCTACGCCGATGTAGGCTGATACATAATAAGGAAAAAATGGTGCAGTGGAAAACAACAAAATCGAACCAACAGATGTAAATATCCCGAGAGCTGCTAAGAAACTTCCTCTAATATTTGTAGATCTATAAATTAATAGGAGTAATTGTAATATTTGATTAGTATATTACTTGTTTTAGCCGAAGTTTAAAATTATTTTACCATATTAAGCAATTGATAGCACGAAAATTAGTTAAACGATTTGACAACCACTGACTGAACGTAAATGAATGGACCACTAGATCCAAAACTGTCTTAGATCTGAGAAGAACTGGCGAATAAAATAGGAAGACTATTTTTTTATAAGCTGTGTATAGCTTATTCATTTGTACAGCTTATACAGCATGTACATACATTACAATATTATGTACATATATTGAAAAAGCTTGGAAGTCATTACATTATCACCATCTTCCTCATTTATATATGTTCGATAAAATTATTTATTTTTTGTAACTTTTAACATATAAATAATATTTTTTCAATTGTTATATGTATATTTTTTTGGAATCCTGTTTGAAAATTGTATAAATTTTCCATAGAGATATTTACTGACATCATGTAACGAAGTGGATGGTATTACCAATTTCTATATATTCCGTGTATTTGTTCAACCGTACGTTTTTCGGGAATAAAAAGTAACGTACGTGCTATTCAAGACTATAATCTATCTCTGTGCCAAATTTCATCCAGATCCGTTCAGTCGTTCCAGGTTGATTGATTAACAAACATCCATCCAAACTTTCACATTTATAATATTAATATTGTGATTATGGTAAATATTTATGGGATAAAAAGGTATAGTCTATTTTTTTTTATCTTTTACTACACTATGGCAAAGTTATCATTTTCACTAATAACAAAAAACCTTTTTTCTAAAGGACCAACATCGCTTTGATAGCGGCCGAATTACCCATAAAACCCCAAAAAATAAAATAATAAATCGAATAGTAAATCGATTCAATTGCGTATAAGACAAGGTTAATTTCATCCGGTCGAGGAGTTGTAAAGACCCCCCCCAACCTCAGTAGTAGTACGAAGCTAAGAAACGCACAGGGAGGTTGCCCACTTCGGTGGGCGGTGGGAGGTGGCCCTCTTCGGGGGGCAGTGTACCTTGCGGGTTGCTCCTGGTACTTCTCTGATAGCAGAGTGGACTTTGGAGCAACCCCAAGGTTGTGGTGGTCTGCTTTGGCAGACCTGCCGTCGGGGCGTCGTAGTTGAATGCGTAAGCGATCCTGCGACGCCCCATTAAGACGGGGGAAGGTTTTGTTGGGTTTTAGTGGGTAGTACTGGCTGTATTACGCCGGTGAGTCCCACACGTCGTGCGTAAATGCATTTCCCAACGTTAAAAAAAAAAAAAAAGGAGTTGTAAAGACACAGCTTGATGGGTGACTTTGCCCAATAATTGTGACTGAAATACATACGCGAGGACATAACTATAGGTATTAATACATTTAGATAAGATTTTTAATACTAACACAACTTCACCTATATAAAGTATATTAAGAGAAGTTATAATTGCTGTAGCACAAGTACTCAAAAGTCTTCCACAATATAACATAGTTATATTCTTTGTCAAAGATAAAACAGTAAAGCCAATAATAGCTATAATTCCACACACAATGAAACATGGTTTCCGACCCTTATAATTTGAAAACCATCCAATTACAAATAGACCTGAAACAAGTTGTGTGAGTTTAGATATTGACTTTGATTTTGCTCTCCTCTATTTGCATATAGCCTAGATACGCGTTTAAATTGACACCAAAGACCAAAGTATTAATTAAAAGTAATCTATACGATTATAATAAAATTCTAGCTAAGATATATCTGTACATTAAATATTTTTTGGAAAATCTTATTAAAATAGACATTATTTTCGATACAGAGGCCGAATCAATCGTTTTTAGAATTTTTGTCTGTCTGTATGTCTGTCTGTTTGTCTGTTACCGCATTACAGAAAAACTTCTGGAGAGATTTTGATGACTTTTGGTATGGTGATAGCTGGTTATCCGGGTCAACATATAGAACTTTTTACCACGGGAAAATATGTCATTTCTGAGAAAAAATACAAAAACTGCAATGTAAGAGTATACTAATATGTAAAACCTAAGAATTTGGTTTTTGGTCATCTCAACGCGGACGGAGCCGCGGGCAATGCTAGTATATAATATATTTGTGTAAAAACTTCCACACTGACGTTAACTTTCGCCTGACGTATTATGCATGCGTTCCGGATCATGCAAAATTTTCATTTTAATTTTTTAATTTAATACGTATCTATCCCTTATAGGCGTCTCTCCCTGACTTACCCTATAGACAATTTGAGGTAAGTAGTGTCTCAAGTTAGTATGTACCTGGTATAGGCCCAGCATATGCCAAAGAGCCTACTAAAGACAGTTGTGTCTCCGTTAACAAATATGGAAGTGGTGATTCTTCGAGATTCTGTAGTTTGGGTATTATAGGCCCCGACCAACTTAGCGTGTAACCTAACATTATTTGCCCCAAGTACACTGAAATAAAAAATAAAGGTAATTTAGTTATACTGAACAAATGACTATCATACGTACTTTTATATGAGTCGGGCAGTGGCTTTAGGGTAGACGGGTATCGACGGCTCGTCGCCGTAAATTTTGTCTAAAATCTAAATTAGATTAAAAAATACATACATACTGCTGATATTAAAATTTGTCGCTTCATTCCAACTGTGCAAGCCATTTTGATTGATAAGTATAAATAATTTCTAAATAATAAAACAAATTAAGTCTACATTCACAGTATAATAGTCTGTGATACAGCAAGCACGCACAGCATAAGCACAAATTCAATACACTCTAAAAATTGCAATTTCAAGAAGGTCAGAGAGCGTGAAAAATGATATACAGATTACAATAATAGAACAAGAACAATAAAACATTCATATCCGTTACAAGAAACGTTACTTGAAAAAACTTAAAAAAAAAAAACCAAGTTCCAGGCGCTAAAATGTAAAAAATAACGAAACGGAGGTTCTCATTTAGAATAGATACTTAATCAGATATTTTCGAAGCCGGTGCCAGCCGATGCTGCAAAACAAATCTAATATATTTCAATACGTAAAATACCTATTAGATATTCATATCTTAAAATATTGTAGGCTGGTACCGACTTCGAAAATGTCTGATTAGGTATCTATTCTAAATTAAAACCTCCGTTTAGTTATTTTTTACATTTTAGTGCCTGGAAGTCAGTTTTTTTAAGTTTTTATTTTTCCATTTTTAGTGTAGACGTAATAAGCAGGTAATTTGTAAGAAGAAAGTTTTTAATAACATATTCGATTAAACAATTCATTTAAAAAAATATTTATTGTTGATATTTTAAAAAAACCGTTCGATCGATTTCGATAAAATTTATAAAGGGCCACCTGAGAGGTATACCCTTTAAAACAAAAAAAAATACAAATCAGTTCAGGCGTCTTTGAATAATCGGTGAACATACATAAAATAAAGATTCCGTCAAATTGAGAACCTCCTCCTTTTTAGGAGTCGGCTAATTATTTTACTGGACTTCGTATTTACCGTGGATACCGTGGATAAGTATGCGTTAGGAGAGCAATATGAATCTGGAGAAGAAGCCCGCCGTGTCAGTACGGGCCTTATATATGATATGAGCCGCGCGTGTCGGTACGACAGCGCCAATCAGAGCACGGGCGGCGAGTAACGCCCTCTGCGGGATTGCGACTGCAACCCGCAAGTTGAATGCTATAGATCATCCTTACTAAATCATTAAAAAAGACAATCCAAGGCTAGTGCTTGCCACACCAGATAGGTAAAAAAATACTATTCGTTCGTTGCCAATAATTGGCCTTAGATGGTTAAATTATGAATTTGAGTATTTTTCTTTTTTATGTTATCTTCCTGTCGTCCCAAGATCTTTCATGTGTAAAAGAAAGAAAAGCGCCTACAGAGTTAAAAAGGGACTGTTGAAGTTTACTTCAAAAGTCCATTTTTAAAACTAAACTTCTTTAGGCGTACCGCGTAACTGAGGGGTAAGTACCCAAATACATTGGAAAAATTGAGCGTCGCGAAAGTGAGTCTTTACTATTGATATATTTTTTAAATATTATATTTATATTTTTATAATAATTATTGCTTATAAAAATTATTATTTATTGCTGTGGGAAGAATGTGCATAAATTAAATAAAAGCCATTATAATTAATGTATGAAGTGTGAATGAAAGAGAGAAAGAATGAGAGAAAGGGACAGAGCGTATTCGGCCATGTTGAATGAGAATGCTTTAGTTTAAAAGAAGAATGTAAACTGCAAAGACGTAATAAACTATTGAAAAAATAATTTTAAAATAAAAAATAATTTCTCATATATTTTATGTCCAAATTGGATAAAATATTGAATTACAATTATGTTTTTTGAAAGCGCCGAATTTGTTATATTTTAATCATTCATCACCGAACAACCTGAAGGAGTTTTAGTGAGTTATATGTTCATATTTAATAATATAAAGAAATATTTTTAACATAAATGTAAAACTTCTGTGTTTGATATAAATGTTATCGTATTATTTTATTGGACATGAGAATGGCTACGTTAATATTATTCGAAATATCCGTAACTAATACTAAAGTAAGTGAAAACACATTCACTTATAATAAAAAGGTCACCCTATCAAATATAGGTCAATTGAATAAAATGTATTTAATATTATTTTCTTATTAGAAAGTTCAAATTTTTTTTTTGTGCCCATGTAAAATGTCCAGTCATAAAAAGTATTTACTACGGATTTTATTGAATGACCTTGGCAGCAAACAATGTTAAAATACACTCTAAAATTTTCATTACTCTCGCCAAATCCTATAAAATTCGTTATTTAAAACTTATCTCAGTAATATAATTTTTAATTTTCTTACTAAGAACCAAGAAGTCATAACCTGTATGTAGCTATATTTTATCTTTTACGCAAGCATTAAAAAATACCCCCTGTTTTAAGTAAAACGAGGTCTTTTAAAGCATTAATATTGATTAAAAAAATATTTAAAACATATTTCGCTGGTTACTTTATATGACTGTAGATTTGACAGATGTCTATTTTTTTAAACTTACATAAGACAAAAAATAATTTTAGTCCCACCGAGTTTCTTCCGCCAATCTTCTCAGGACTGTGGTTTGTTTACGAACTAGCGGTAGTACTTATGACGTTTAGTAAAAAAATTAATAATTTTATGCTGAAGAAAATATTTTGAATTTGAAATTGTTACTTAAATTAGATTAAACTTCCATTGAATTTGTGTTCTTAATACTTACATCCTATTTCTGATTGCTAGAAATATCATATATCTAAAACTTTAGTCATATTATGAAAATAAATGACTTAATCAGTGCGCTTTGATTTGTACCGGTTGGCACCGACTTCGAAAATTCTAATATTGATTAGGTAGGTAGCTACTAACTATAGTAAATGAAAAGTATAACTTTTTTTTACTTTTGTTTTTTTTCGAGGTTTTCTTTTAGTTTTTACTTTTCCATTTTTAGTGTACACATAGTAGTAGCAAAGTAAGATAAAAGTATTTTAAAATAACATATATTTTTTAAGTAGATATTAAAATTCAGTAGGTGAAAAATCAATGACCCCTATTTTCTACACTTAGGGGTGGATATTTTTTTTCATAATTAAAAGGGATTAATTTTTAGGTATACCCTATCTAATACAAAAAAATCTACTACACTGTTAAAAGTTATGCGTGGTCAAACATAAAAAAAATACCTGTCAAACGAGAACCTCCAAATTTTTTTCGTCGTTTAAAAATGAAGTAATGAGATTTACATACATATGTAAGTATACAAGACAAAAATAAAATTCCGAAAATTGATCAAGTGTAACTTTAATTTATAAAGAATAAAATATCTAATTTAAAATATACTAGTAGTTCTGCGAACAGCAGACCTCGCGAGCACAAACTACATTTTGAGGAGCTAATCTGCTCAGCACGCCGAAGACCTTCATCAGATTTTCACTAAATTTTTATGAGACCATTTAAACTTAAAGCTTTTAAATAAAAAAGAACAATTGAAATCGGATCTCAGAAGACGGAGATGTCCAATAGCCCAGTGTCTGCCCCTTTTTGGAGGAAATACCCCTCCAAACAAAAATCCCTGACGACAAAAAAATCTGTTACGTCATAAAACTTGTACCAAGTTTCATCCAGATCGGTTGAAAATAAAACCTGTAGAGGAATGAACCAACAAACTGATAGAGGAAAGCAAATATTGCCAGACTTGTAGCTGAGACGCTTCGCCTCTCGGTCATTTATTTACCTAATTATCGTAATAAATGCATAGTTGTAGTCCTAATAAAGAAATACATATTATACTCCATTCATAACACCTTTTTAGGACAGCATATACTCGTATATTATATATATTTTAACATTTTTTTCCTAATATATTGTTACAGTATACAAATATAAGCTATATTTAAAGTCGACATCATGAAATACCTCCATGTATAGACTGTTCACTGTTTATAATAAAAATGAATTGATAACATATATGTTACATATGACATTGTGCCTTAAATACTACATGAGTTATGATGGTAAAAAAGAAAGAGATTGCAAAAATATCAGGTAAATTTCAACTTTTTTTAAATGATCAATTGCCAAAGTTTTCACACAAATCAACTTATTTTTATAATATTTTAGAAGCTATATTGATATTATGTTATTCTAACAATAATATCAAACTCTAAAACGCTTAGCGGAATAAGCAAATGAAATTTGCAATAACGTCTGCTATACCCTTTGATAGAAAATTCAATCTAAATTACTTACAGTTTTCGACGTCGGACAAAACATTCAGAATTTTTATGGTATAATAAAACTTTCTCCATTTAAACAAAAACTCTCTATAAGATGAAATAATCTTTTAAGTTAACTAAATATTTTTGACTGTGCTTCAATTTTATTTATCTTATTTTAATATGTTGTTGTATTATATAAAATTGATGTAGACATATTACAAAGAGTCACTTAAATAAAAAAAGTCAAGAGGTGCCGTGGGACACCTGGTAGGAACGATTCCCTTTCACTACCTGCCCTCATAAATTAGATCATAAAAATTGTCACAACTATTAGGGTTTCATAAACATCAAGCAACGAACATTGTACATGTTGAAGCTAATCGAAGAAAGGCCTGCACAGAGTGCACTCAAATTTCTTACAACATACATTTATTAATACTTTAATCGCCTTGTACTTATGATGACATCACACCATGAGCTGCCCTTAACTCATAATATTCGGCAACAATAATTGTCACGAGCACTAGGGGACCACAAACTCAAGAAATATCCATTATATTATATTATGTAGGGCCCCGTCAGAAGAGTGCATACGAATTACTTACTACATATATTCCTTAACACTTATGATCGCCTAGTACTAATGATAAGACACACATGGTCACATGGGGTGCTCTTAATAGGTAATAATAAAAAGTGTCGTGACGGTCGAAATGTTACACTATTTTCGGTCTAGCTCTCATTCGCCAAATGTGCATGGAACTTCATTCCAACAGACATTATCAGTCATATACATATTAGTGTTTACAATGCACCATTCCCAGACAATATTAGATATTAGTTTACTAATATCAGGGTAGCTAAAACTACGATTAAAGCTGCAAAAATTGATTTACACTACCAAATAGCATTCTTCCTACAATAATAAACTATTTACACAACATTTGTTGTATTTCATTTAAAGTTTTCCCCTTAGTTTCCGGTACAAATTTATATGTGAATATAAAAGCGGTAATACATGCTACTGTAAAGATCCAAAAAGTTACATCTCCTCCAAATACTTTGACCATAGTACCAAAACTTGAGGCCACACCGAAACCTACCAACCAAGAAACTGTAATAGATACAGCAGAACCAGTACTCCTTGCATTGCCTCGAAACATTTCTCCTACTAACGTACCGGGCATAGTTCCGAAACCTTAAAAATAATATATTTATTGCTTAGATATTAGTATATACATTTCAAATAATTAAGACTAAGACAAATATTAAGAAAGAGTAGATTAAGGGCTTAATTTTCAATAGTCATATAAAAGTTATTTGTATGATATGATTTCATTGCCAATAAAAATTTACCGGATGATGAAAACTTAGCCCTTAAAGGAAAATTTTTTTAACAATATTCTAAATATGGTAATTTATTGGTAGAAAGATTGAAATAGAGAATCCAAAAAGGTGTTTTTATGCGATTGTTTTAGGTTTTAAATAAAACTATCTTGTCTCTCTCGTGCCCGTGATTCGTAGTCGGGAACCAAAAACCAAAATAAAAACCGCAGAAAAATCGGAAATGATAGTTTTATTTAAAATCTCAAATATAAAACTAAGAAAGTACTATTTTTAGTACGATACAGATATTAATTTAGACAGTTCGTTATGCATAACAGTCTATACTAATATTATAAAGGGGTAAAGTTTGTGAATTTGTGACGTTGTTGGGAGTAATCTCTGGATTTACTGAACCGATTTAGATGAAATTTGGTAAGAAGATACTTTGAGACTCTGGGAAGGACATAGGATTCTTTTTATCCCGGAAATCATCCCTTAAGAGGGATAAAATGGGGATGAAAGTTTGTATGGGGAATCAGGCGAGGGACGAACGGGAGCGAAGCGAGGGTGAGTCGCTAGTATATAATATACGTAATAAAAAATAAAGGAAAAAATAATAGCTTACCAACTTCATACGAAGCAAAGAAAGTGATCAGAACAAGTAAAGGCAGCCAACCTATTTCGCTTACTACTGGACTCATAATCTTACTTAGATAAAAATACGTTCCCAGGACCGACTGAAAATAAAACATTAAATTTAGTATTTATTAAAAATTGAATTATGTATGAAATTTTTGAAAGTTATTTCGAATCCTATGAGATAAAGTATTATCATAAAAAAATATAATATTAGCTTGGTTAAAAGAGTTCAAGTCTTAAGTCAACAAAGACAGTAGCAGTTAGACAACTGGAAACCTCTAAGTCTCAGCGAGCTTGAGCGGTAGCTAATCTTAGAGTGACTGAACTGGCTGCTATAACTAAAAGGAAATTATAAATTTAACTTCTACGTACCAAACTTAAAGCACAAAAAGCTGTAGACACAAGCAGCAACATCCTTCGTCCCGCCCTCTCAACAAAAAAAGGCGCAATTAAACTTGCCAGAAATCTTGTAACAGATATTATAATGGTTGCTAGATATGGTCTGAAAATATAATAAAAACCCCTATCAAGAAATTCCAAGTAAAGAAGAAACGCGCAGTTTTTTGTAAGTGATTGACACCTCAATAACCCAAACCAACATAAATTATTGGATCCCCATATCCACAACATAGTTGAGAACAAAATTTTCCTCTTTATCTCGTTTCGTCATTGTTTCATTTCAGTGATCATGGTATATTATTTAAATTAATATTTTATAGAGTACATACTAGCTACTCACAGAAAGAATAGAAAAACAAAATCGAACTGCCCCGTATTCGTTCAAAAATAACGTTTATTTCAATAAGATATAATTTCCAAAAAATATTTAATGTTTAGATTCAGCTTCGTTACAATTTTATTATACGAGTATGTATAGAATTAATAACAATAACATAATTAACTTAGCTTTCCTATGTTTAAGAGTCCACAAACGTAACACGAAAATTGTTTTAAAGCAATATTTTAAAAGAAACTGCTACAATTGTGTTATTAACTAATTAAGAATGTTTAGTATTAGCTGATTGAAGTTATTAATTTACCGTAAATGCTTTATAAAATTTGGCTTACATTATTTTAATTTTATTATTTCTAAGCTATACTTATTGTAAAATATAAAACTTACGGTACAGAGGATCCGGCACTTTCAAAAATAGTAGTAGTAAAAAATAAAACTGTGGCAACTCCACTCAACTGTTGCAAAGTAAACAAACTTAGTGTAATGAAAAGAGAATGCCTGTTCGCTTTCACTGTGAATATTTTGATCCACGCTTTCCAGCTATACCCCTCTGTGGGGCTAATTCCTTTAACCGATTCGAAGACGTTATCTAAATCATCGACACGTCCTAGTAATCTCAGAGTATTCTTAGCCTCCATTTCATTACCTAAAACAAATAAAATATTCTAAAATGCAACAGATGTAAGGTAACATTATGTATAAATACAAATATCTATATATGGGTATATCTTAATTTTAGGCAGCATTAAGAAATTAGATTGATTATAGCACAAGATGAGAAGACAAACGACAATAAATAATAATATTCGAACATTGATAGATACGTTTCTCATGAATCTTCGCCATACTCGGGATGAAAATAATGGTTTCAAAGATATTATATAACTGTTTATAGACATGGTAGCAAATTTTGCATATCACCCAATTTATTCACCTATATTATAATATGTAAATTGGGTGATAATGACTGAATTGACCCGCCATATTCAGACACATTACAAAACTTATATACTAAATCCTTTGTTTTAATATTCTTATGTATATACTAGTGGCTTTCTGCTGCTTCGCTCCGGAACTCACCCTAGGAATCCTTTTACCATATATTTTTATTTTATTTATATAAAACCGTTTAGGCAGCAGACTCCGGCCACTTTAAGCAAAATCAACTAAACGGCCACTTTTTTTACTGATTATTTCTGATAGTAAACACTTAAACAACAAAGAATATAATATATATAACAATAGGGATAAAAAATAGCCTATAGCTCTTGGCGGTAATGTAGCTTCTCATTAGTGAAAGATTTTCACAACCGGACCAGGAGTTTCTAAGGTTACCCCTAACGTCCAAACTAACAAACTATACCTCTTTTTAATAAAAGTGTAAATAATTAGCTTACCTCTTATTGCGTAATACACAGGCGACTCTGGTATAAATATAATACAAATATTGTATGTAATATTTATAATAAGAGCTATATAACCGGTCGATCTGTAAGATACGGCCGAGCCAACAATGGACGCAAATAAGGTGCCAGAAATACCCACTATACCAACGGATGTTAGGAAGATGCCACGTATGTTTGTTGAACTGGAATCATTTGCATTTATATTACTTTTTGACTTGAAAAATTGTTCATACATTTATTTATTATCTATAGCTGAAAATGAATCGCTTAAAGAGTTAGAATAATTATGTACATATTTTTTTTGTCTCTTCTATAAATGAGAAAATGTAATATTCTAAATAGAAATACCTAGATTATAAATAATTTTCGAGATCTTTGTCTTATGCAAAAATATTTTTCTTTTTCCGAAAATATATTATACAAATATTTTCAGTACCAATGGTGATTACCAATAATACTCGTAAATTATTATCACTTGTTAAATAATAAATAAAACTATGTCTTCGCATATTTTCGCAGATTTTTTTTTTTTTGGTTCCCGACGTATCGAGAGACAGGTTGTATTTTTTCTTAAATCATTTTGTAAGTCTGTAGGTACGCACTGTCTGTAACAACTATATATGACCTTTAAGATGTCTACAACCTTAATCTTTCCCATGACCATGATTACTGTAAAGCATTTGAAACATCGGGGAACTAAAAATCGAAATAAATGCACGAAAAAAATCGGCAAGATAGATTTAAAATGTCAAATATTCTAAAATAAAATCTAAGAAAGTGTTAATTATCACTTAAAATGTAATCACATAATAATGTCAGCAGTTCCTTTCTTTTTACGACTAATTACTTATTTATATGTAAATGCTGTCGTGGGTGTTGATAGCAAAACCTTACTTTATAAAAAAGTTAACTGGAAGTCATAGATAGGGACCAGCGATTCCAAAACAACATAAAACTAATCATTTTTTGGGTAATAATAATCCATTCAATTACCTACTCAGAAATAGACGTAAAAGATATTTCAAACCGGATATGAGAAGATTAAAAAGACTTCTTCAATTTTATATGACTCATTCAAAGACTCAATAACTAAACTTGGCCCGACTCGGTACTCTAACCCAGGACGTTCGTATATACAGCCGTACATGCTATCCACTAAACCACGGATCAAAGGAATAAATTATATAGCCGCCGATAGCAAACAAATGTAAAAATTAAAAATAAGACTTTCCTGAAAATTATAATAATATACTCACGCAATTTCTCCAACGTAGACGAGATTGCTGACTGTGACCATTCCCATTCCCAAGCCACTTATTATTCTAACCGCATACACCGTCGCAAGGTTTTTAGTAAGCACTATAAGTATTATTGCAATCAAATGCACAAATCCACCAAGATATAAACACGGTTTTCTACCAATTATATTTGACAGATAACTGGGAATGTATGGGCCTGAAATATAAAAAAAAATTATAGTAAGTCCCATAATGCATTCGTTTTACACTTTTGGTTACATCTCTATAACACAGCCGTGTTAGATTTAGATGATGTAGTTTTAAAAGTATAATAATAATAATATGTCGGGACATTAACACACACCATCATCTAGTTCCATGGTAAGCTACGAGGCTCGTGTTATGGATACCAGATAGTTGATACACTACACATATATAACTTTAATTGCATACATATTATAAATATAAACACCCATGAATGGAGTACAAGCATCCGTGCTCATCACACAAATGAATGCCTCCAGCGGGACTCGAACCCGTGACCGCTGGCACAGAAAGTAGGGTCCCTACAAACTGAGCCAAGCGTGTCGTCGAATAAAAGTAGTGGAAAATAGTACTTTTGATCAAATTAAGCCGTTACGAATATACGTGAACTATATAATAGGTGACTCTCGTATAGGCAACATAAATGAATAATTTATATTGCAAGTCATTGCCTTTAATATCCGACCCCAGAACCCTAGATCGTAATAATATAATTCTTCGCTTATAGGTCGAGCCTAAAATAACGAGATTTGATTTTTCCACATATTGAACGTAGTGAAATTACGCTTATTGTATAGTTGTAAACATACGTAGTATAAAAATTTACGAGTGAGTATTTTTTTGTATTCAACCCTTTTTAACGTCCTACGACTGATGGGTCTTCAATACAAGGGAGATCAGGCCATAGCCCACTACGCTGGCCAAGTGCGGGTTGGCGGACTTCACGTGTCCTTCGAAAACTTGCACAGAAACGTTTTCTCAGACATGCAGGTTTTCTCACGATGTTTTCCTTCGCCGTATGGCAAGTGTGTGAGTGAATTTTGATAAATAAATTTAAAAAATGCTTTTCTATTATCTTACCAATAATAGCCCCAACATATAACAAAGACCCAATCCATGACATTTCCAAATCTGTTATAACGGTTGGCAAAGGACTTTGCTTAGGATCCTGAAGCATAGGTATAATAGGAGCTGACCACCCCATAATGTATCCATCTAAAAACTGTCCAACGTTCACTGAAACATAAAATATTATTAGAATCTGCCTGCGAATACGCTGGCGTCAAAATAATTTTAGTTCTAAATTTCCAAATTTTTGGGTATTGCCATCAATTGATAAGTTGAGAAATAAAATTAAACAAATAATGTAATACGAGTACCTTGGAGCCATTTTTCTATCACTTTAAAATCGATGTATAATTTTTTGGGTAGATATTGTATGTAACACGTAAGAACTACATAATATATATGATAACTTTTGAGGCGTCTGAAACTTTAGCCTCTCCTAATGACCTTCATACATGTATATACATAGTATTCTATGGTCGTGGGTTTTTGTTTTTTTTTTATTTGAACTGTTTTCATGTCATAATTTTCCGTCGTGGGTTGTTTCAATTATTTTTTTTTATATTTTTAACCGACTCCCGAAAAGGAGGAGGTTATCAATTCGTCGGGATCTTTTTTTTCTTTTTTTTTATGTATGTTCACCGATTACTCGAAGACGCCTGAACCGATTTGGAATTTTTTTTGTTTCAAAGGATATACTTTCCAGGTAGTCCCATATAAATTTTATCGAAATCGGTAGAAGTTTTTAAAAAAATGAACAATAAATATTTTTTTATAAAGAAATTGCTTTATCGAATATGTTATTAAAGACTTTCTTCTTAGAAATTACCTGCTTATTACGTCTACACTAAAAATGGAAAAATAAAAACTTTTTAACAAAAAATAAAAACCGACTTCCAGGCACTACAATGTAAAAAATAACTAAACGGAGGTTTTCATTTAGAATAGATACCTAATCAGATATTTTCGAAGTCGGTGCCAGCCTACAATATTTTAAGATATGAATATCTAATAGGTAAATATGTGTTTTACGTATCGAAATATTATATTAGATTTGCTTTGCATCGACTGACACCGACTATAGGCAAATATGAAATTTTAAATAAAACTATCTTTTCGGATTATTTCGCGGATTTATTTTGATTTTTGGTTCCCGACGTTTCATATGCTTTACAGCAATCATGGTCACGGGAGAGACTGAGGTTATAGACGTCTCAAAGGCATTATATGCTGTCTGTAACAAGTGTATACTCATTCTTTGGCGAATTTGTTAATAAACTTTATTGTAATCGAAATTATACTACTGTATGTTATTCCCCTAAGTCCGGACAGTAACAGATTCCTAGTACCTTATATTCAGTAGTAGAATTACAAGTACAGAAGTACAAGTATATTCTGACAAAATAATGTGTTTGTTCTACTCTATATAATCTTATAATTAATTATTATTTATCTTTTTAGATCATTTAATATAATAAAGACGAAGAAAAAAGGTATCTGGTGCTCAAATAAGTTATAATTAGAAATTGATAATGTTTTAAGCTAGAAGATGATAAGAGAAGCTTTCGAGCGTTTTAAGGTATCAAAAAGCACTTTTTTGATAAAACTAAAATAAAACCTACTGAAAAGAAGCTGGAGAAGTATTATTGTGTTGTTTACGAATTATTGTTTATGTGTTGCGAAGACTACAACGAGGACTGAATCCAGTGTGGAGAGTGTAAAGGATGGGCTCATGAAGCCTGTGAGGATATCCCAGAGTTTTCAGACGTCTATACTTGTGTTCGTTGTTAATATTTTTAAAATTTTCTTGAGACTATTATTATCTTGATATTAATTTATGGTAACTTAAATTCAAATAAATATTAAAAAAAAAATTATAGGCAATTCAATAATTTCTTATCCGTGGTTAAAAGACTTGTCATTTAAATTTACTTTTGTTGAATTATTTGGATATTTATAATGAATATTGGTTCAGGGCGTTTATTGTATTAATGTAAGTTTATTGTGTGACTTTAAATTTTTGTAAACAAGTGCCCGGTTCTGTCCGGTCTTAAGTATTTAAATTTATACTTATCCGGTACTAGATGCCAAATGTCAAGAATTCACTTAGATTATATGACACACTTGAAAAAGTTGATTAAAAATACTTACCACACGCTACTATGAATATTTGGGTACGAATGTACTTATTCATTTTAAATACTTAATCGAATAATTGAAATTTTTCAGGCATCTTTATCATTCCACTTTCGTAAGACACTATGGCGTTTACAATCTAGAGTATATATATAATATAGTTGTCACATAAGGAAATTAGTTGTTGCCTATTCTGGCGGCGACTGCGCATGTACAAACCCGCAGTGTACTATATAAAGAAAAACTATATTATATTTTTTTCAATACTCAGATAAGGTATAAATATACATACTTGTATAACACCTTTGCTTTAAAACGGCAAAAAAATTCACTGTAAATTGGCAACAAAATTGCAATTGTATAATGATATTTTTGAGAAATATATTTAGCTTAATAATCATTACATTTTATTAATAATAACATTTATTTTAATAAAGAAGAAGCAAAACATTCCTAAAAACATAAAAAAATAACAATAAAAATTATTGAAAAGTCACAAAATGCATTTTATAATAAGCTGATTTATAAAAGAAACTAGCGACTCACCCTCGCTCCCCAACTACGATTTAACGTTTAGTGTAGATTTCTCAGAGATGAGATATTTTTCCGCACTAAAAAGTATATGTTGCCCCGAATACATGATGCATACAAATTTCATCAAAATCTGTCCAGTGGTTTTATCGTGATTCATTCCCAGACAGACAGACAAAAATCCTAAAAACTATATATTCGGTCTCTGTATCGATAACAATGACCAATTCAATAAAAATTAAAAAAATAATAATGTACAAATAGACTCCGTTACGATTTTATTATAGACTAACATTGCCCGCGACTCCGGCTCTTAAATATGGTATCGCGGAGTTCTTGTAAAACTATTACGGATGACCATTTTTACCATTACATTGATATTATTTATCTACCGTTTTTTGCACTGTATGTCATGATAAGGCAAACAAGCAGCTCTTTTTCAATCAACTTTACTAATTAATACCGTCAATGCTTATATAAATAATCTTAATTCTAAAAACTTTAAACCGATCATGACAGCAAAAAACGTATTTAAATTCATTTATTATTTCTCGACTTCTTGAGATAAGGCTGCACATACTTACAGACAGGCGTTCGCTTTTATGTAAGTAAAGTTATATATATATATATATTCAACCATTTTTAAGGCCTGATTGCTGGGCATGAATCTCCATTCTATAAGAGGGGCATTAGGCCATAGTCCACTACACTAGCCAAGTACAGCTTGAAGGACTTCAGGCGTCTTTCGAAAACTTGTTAAGTTCTCTTAAACATGCAGGAATGCACACGATGTTTTCCTTAACTATAACTTGTAAATATATTGAAAATGATTCGCACATGAAAATATCAGAGGAATTTGAACCCGTTTAGTTTGCCAAGCAAGCACATTACCTGAGTTGTTTTACATTTTAATTTTTTACGATAAACTGTCTACAGTGTGTCTACTTGTCATACCGGTGCAGTAAAATAAATTTAGTGCTAAAAATTATCGGTACCAGACGAGCTATCAGGTATGTTAGTAAATGAATAACAATATTATAAAACTTAAAAACTTTTTTATCTGAGAATAAATATTTATAAAGGCAAGTTAAAATAACATTTACAATTTTTATTGTGACCAATAGTTAAAGATCTTAAATCTATTTACATATCTAATGTAGTTTGTAAACGAGTGATTACTTATAAATATATTTTACAGATTTACACGGTTAACTCAACATATCCTGTATTTCATTCAAAGTTTTTCCTTTTGTTTCAGGTAAACAAAAGTATGTAAACAGAAAAGCCAATATACAAGAGCCTCCGAAGAGCCAGAAGGTAACATCGCCGCCCAAGACATCTACCATTGTAGTAAAACTCGTGGTCAAACCAAATCCAACCAGCCAAGTAAGAGTGATTGCAAGAGCGGATCCATTAGAACGAACATTTGCTCTAAACATTTCACCTACGATAGCATTTGGTATTGTACCAAAACCTGAAAAAATAACACGAAAATCAATATTAATAAATATTTTCTCTTACGGAGAAAGTGTAAAAGGGGGAGCCTAGACCAAACCTAGACCAATTTACGATATGTCTGTAGATCTGGGTCGATAAATGTAATTGGTATCTCATCTCTTTATTTTGTATACCACGGGATGCGAACCCGCACACTTTGCTATAAAACCTAAACTAATTATCTACCATAAAAAAACAATACGAACGTTTTAAATTCTACCACCATTGGGTGTATGAAGGCCCAATGATACTAATTAATGATATGCTCAAGGGAGATGAAAATTCGAATTACTTTGAAATTGGGCAGTTGATCACTTAGTAACAGATTTCACGTGAAGATTAGCACTTGTTGATACAAAGTCCGAGTTAAAATTATTATTATATGTAATCTAACTTTAACATTATATAATAATTATCCTGTTTTCATAAGAAAAGTAATATCTCTATTCACAAACAAAAACAAATTTATCCCACGAGAACTGTACTTTTCCGGGATAAAAAGTAGTCTATTTGTTATTCTGATGTTTGATCATGGTCAGTAGTTTTTGTGTACTAAGCTGTATAAGTTACTATAGTTTTTTAACTATTTCACGGGAACTCTTTAATTTTCCGGGATGAAAAGTATCTAAAATATTGACTAGGGATATAAGGTACTACCATACAAAATTTAATTTCATCAGTCCAACAGCTTTGGAAATTAACCCGCACAAACAGACAAACAGAAAAACAGACAGAGAAACAAAACATATGAAAAAAAAACTGGATTTGATCCATTTCTCTTTTTACATCCCCTGACTCGGTTTTTAGCATTTTTTTCTATGTACAGACATTCGACCTCTACAGTTTTATTATATGTATAGATAATGCTATATTTTCAGGGTAGATGAAGACTCAATCTTCAAACACTCTTACATCAAAAGTAGTAAAATATTTTTCCTTACCAGCCTCATAACAGAAGAAGTAGACAATAAGTGCAACCAGAGGAAGCCAACCAATGGACTCGACTGCCGGACTTTCTACTCTATCCAAGTAAAAGTACAAACCTAGAACGGACTGCAAAAAAACATGAATTTCTAAGTATTATATATTTTATAATATTAACTTTAAAATACGTTTCACATGACTGCACCATAACGCAGTATATGTATGTAATATTGAGTATACTCAATATTTCATCCAAAACATGAATTTACTAACGTACTAGGTACGTTTTAATTTTTTTTGTTTTTTTGTCAGACAAAAATTTAAAAATATGTGTCTTTTTTTGTAAGTACCGTATATAATTTTATAACGCTAGTAAGACGCTGTTATTTTGACACTGCAAACAGTCACTTCAATTTTATTTATCTGTATAGATATGGCCGAATAGCACAAATCGGTACGCAAATGTTTAATAACCTGTCGTTAAAAGCGGCGCAACTCAAATATTACACAAAAAATATCACTTAGCTTTGAAATGGAAGGAGCAGTAGATAGATAACAATATATCCATGCTAAGTATGTATAACTATTTTTATAAATATAATTATATTAATTATTTTTAATGAATTTACGAAGCTAACTTTTAAATTATAGTAGTGTATGAAATGAAATGAAACTTTATTCAATTAGATTTAATATAAGCATTTTTGAATCGTCAATTTAATTTAAAGATCGTTAGTGTGTAGTCAGTCCGTGAGGTCTATCGTAACGCAAAACAATCTATTTCAATATTTTAATATTAATTTCTTAAATCTTACCAAGCTAACAGCACATGCTGCCATTGAGATTAAAAGTAAAAGTTTTCTTCCAGATCTTTCCACAAATGTTGGAGCTATTATACCAGCTACAAGCCTCGTCACTCCAATTATGATAGTGGCTACATCAGACCTAATTGTTGAACCAGCAAGGTTAAATATTGTCGTTGCAAAGAATAGCACCACTGCTACACCACTAGTTTGCTGGAAAGCTCCCAAGGTAAATGTGATGAAGAGAGACCATCTGTTAGACTTTATAGTGAATATTTCTGTCCAATCTTTGATTTTGGTCGAAGTTTCTCCCTTTTTATATGCAAAAGTTTCTAGAACCTTCTCCACCTCTGCAGATCGTCCCAATAAATTGAGGGTCTTTGTGGCTGTTACATCTTTTTCTAAAAGAATAATTAAGATTTTATTAAAGCAACTTAATTTATAAAGTAAAATACGACAATTATCAATAATTTATATAAGATTAATACATTTGTATGAATAGAAGTGAAAAGGGACAAACTTTAGTAAACATAAAGCATTACGAACCTTTCATTACATAATAAACAGGAGATTCTGGTATAAAAAATAAACATATAACATGAACTATGCTGATAACCAATGGGATATATCCAGTTACTACATATGACACAAATGGGACCACCGAGTACACCAATAGGGTTCCTGATATACCCACAATTGAAGTAGAAGTTAGAAGCATGCCTCGGATATGAGTTGACCTAAAAAGAAAAATGTATTATAAAATATATAAAAAAAACCACACGTATTATCATTTATAGAAAATATGAACGAGCAGTATGAAACTAAATAAAAAGTAAATAAGAGAGGTGGTTCGGTACTTGCTCAAAGAATTAGCATTACGTCATCCATTTTGTATATGTTCCATATTGGAACAGAGGTGGTCAAAATATAAATGAATGAAAATAACTATTGACTAATTTTACTTTGGAGTCTATGAAAATAAAAAACTTTCCCGTCATTGTAAAAATTACAAGACTTTTATTGATTTGGATTTGGTACACTTTAAGAGGATTGTGAAGTGCCGATACGCGGCGAGAGTAGGTATTTTTAAAAATGCTATCTGTTTCATACCGCTTTGCATCCCCCCGGCAGTGAACAACACAAATACAACATACGCAAATTCTCACACACACTATAATAGCAGCAGCCGGTGACGCGCGGGCGCTTGCGGGGGGCGGGGGCGGGGGCGGCGCTATTCGGCGCAAGAGCAATTTCAAAGTTTATCTAATATTTATTATTTTAACGGTTTGCGTACAATATACATTCCCTACAAGTTACATCGCACCTTTATTCATAAACTGAAATAACTCTAAATTACAATTCTGTGGCGAATATCATTTAAAATTTGACTTGTTTAGATTGATGACTTCAAAAAATCATAAAAAAATAAATAGGTGGTTTAGATCAATTACAAAAATCTCGTTCCAAAAGTTGAAAGTTTTAGAATTTTTTGTTGTTTATGTACTAATAGACCCATCGGAATCCTTTTATTTTTAAAATATTTTTTTTATTGAAAACCTGAAGTTTTATGATTTTATAATGTTAGCAGGTATATAAGGAATAGAAATTCATAAAATGACCTGATCATGAATGATGATGATTTACGATTTTTTAACATATCTATGACTAAATTTTATAAAATATATCAACTTAATTTTTTAACTAATGAATAAACAAGATTAGATTACGAATGAATTTCATTTCTTTCTGTAATTGCCCTAAAATCATTTTTTTCAGAAAAATCAATAAAATTAACTCCAAAAACTAATAAAATATCAATAAATTCGAAAAAATTATAACGAATAGTATGTGTATATATATATATATATATATATATATATATATATATATATATATATATATTTATAGACATACTATTCGTAATAATTTTCATGAAATTATAACGAATATTATAAATTATAACGAATATAGAATTAAAAATATAAATTTTACAAAAATAAAAGTATTTTTATTGCTCCTTCTAAACGGTAACAGTCCAGCAATTAGCAAAAGAAAGCGCGTGACCGGTGGAGGGCGAGGGGTGGAGGGGTGTAGGAAGTGGCCCTTACTCGTTCAAACTTGGCCAGATATAATGATGATGATGATATAGAAAATATTTTTATTTTTGTATGAAAATGAAAATTTAAGAAATATATTTTTTTCTTGTTACAGAGGTTGTTGTTATCGTGTAAATAATATATTCCCAAAAGGTCTTCAGTAAATTAAAAATGACTCTGTGTATATATATATATATATATATATATATATATATATATATACTTATTTTTTCTCAGAAATGAGATATTTTCCCGCGGTAATCCTATAATATGTTGATCCGGATAACTAGCTACCACCATACCAAATTTCATCAAAATCCCTCCAGTGGTTTTTCTGTGACGTGGTAACAGACAGACAGACATACAGAAAGACAGACAAAAATTCAAAAAACTATAGATTCGGCCTCTGTATCGATAATAATGTTTATTTCAATAATATTTTCCAAAAAATATTTAATGTACAGATACGGCTTAGTTACAATCTATACATACGAGTATAATAAAATTCTAAACTTTGGATTGAATCCTTTCAGTATCGATCGATATATCGATATTACCTTCTCCTCCCTAGGAGATAATAATATCGATAGCACCTTCAACATCACTACAGTCTACAATATGCCCCTGCCCCCGACCCGTATGGTGCGATAGAGAGAGTTGCAAGTCTTAGGCTCAATTACCTACATTTCCTTTTTGAAATATTGTTTCGGGCGATAACGTTTTCACCCCCCTAAACATTAACGAAATGAGACGATTTTGGTCTCATTAGATTCAGTACACCTTAATCTAGGTCAGTACGTTTTCCTTTTTTTGTAATTCAGTTTAGTTTAATTTAAAAAAATAAAAACGCTGGAGGAAGTTTTTAGGTCAAAAATATAGATATTTAGATACTAATAACTTCTGTCGTACGCAATATTTCTAAAAAATAAAAACGTACGGACCTAGATTTTGATTATATCTACAATATTTCCAAAAATTATGAAAATTAGACTATGTTTAAGGGGGGAAAAACGTTATCGCTTTTTGTATGAAAATTTACAGCTTCACAATCCTCTGATGTTTTTTGTGTGTTAATTTATCTCGTCAAATATGTCGACTGAGCCGACTTTGTTAGTTTTTTCTTATTTTAAATAATTTCCAATTTTTTTCCAGTTTTATGTTTGTAAAAGTTTCTGACGTCTACCCACAAAATTATTTGATAATTTGGAAGAAAAAAGAAATGGCATTGAAGTATTTAATTGGGGTTGCTATAGTTATACAATTTGAAAATATTTGATTCGTGTTTGTTATTATTATTATTCTACAGTTTTATATCATACAAAAAGTATTATCCTACAGGTTTTCTTATTCCCAAATAGTGTAACACACCCCTAACCTGAAAACTAAATTCCTCAACAGACAGCCGCATATAACTAAAAATTAAAGCGATTATTTTTTATGTTGAAGTGTTTAATTTTACTACATAATATTAAAATTATAAATGTGAAAGTTTAGATAGATGTTTGGATGTTAGTTACTGAATCGCGCTAGAATGGCTAAATGGCTCTCGATGAAAGGCACAGAAATAGATTATAGTCTGAAATAGCACATAGGCTACTTTTTATCCCGGGAAAATGTATATATTTATTTTTGTTTATAGACATTTATAATAAAACTTATTTCATAAAGTAACAAACTTTTAAACTTCTACTACTAATACTATAACATTCGTGAACGATGATAACGAAAAATCTAAAAACTTCCTTAAGAAAGTGCAGAAGTTAAGAATTACCATCGTATCGTCTCGATAATCGATCCTATGACCAAGTAAGTGTAGACAAAATAGTACTTCAGGAGATAAATTATTATTGATAATAATTTTTATGCTATCGTATTATCAGAATGGCGAATGCAAAACGTTTTTCCTGTCATATCAATCAAGACTATCATATCAATCAATGTTTAATACGATGCCGCAATAGGCTTAATAAGTTGAAGGCTACAAATCTGGTTTCCGCTTACGTAAATATATATCTTGATATTAATCAAAAACCTAATAAATTATCAAAATAAATAGTAAAATGGATTTTGCTGAAGAAAACAAAAAGTGATTTTGATTGAAAATTTAGGCAGTGGTAGCCTAGTGGTAACGCGTTCACTTCGAAAACTAACTGATGCGAATCAGACTCGGGGTCTCTGACATTTTCGTATGCGAATCCTTTTTGACATGGTAACAAATGACCTTGCGTTAAAAGAAAATGTCATGAAGAAACCTGAATGTCTGAGAGAACGTAACTAGTTTTCGGAAGACAACTAAAAGAGGACTGAACATTTTCTATGTTACATTAATTATAAATAACATCAAATTATTGTTGCTCGTAGTAATAATTAATAAAAAATCCATCTGAAACACTGTATGATAAAACTTAATGATAAGGTTTGGCTTTAACTGTTTAACAGAAATTAGAAACGATCAAGATAAAATTTTGAAATCACAAAAGATTGATTATAAATGATATCAATTATAATATTAAAAAAGTGTGTGTGTGTGTGTGTACTTATGTCACGTAAGAAGTTTTACTTCTTTGGCGTAACAGAACTAAAATAGCTAAAGATTTCATCCTGTATGTCACAACTCTCTGTTTGTAAGAGTAATGCCGCTAACTTCATCATGTCGCATAGTAAAAATTTTACTCTCATAAGTTTTTCCAAGCGTGCCAAAAGAAGTATAACTTCAAAAAAATAATGGATTTTAATAAACTACCCCACAATGTTTAAATATAGAAAAGTATTTGGATTGAAATCTGAAATTTGTTAAAGCATAAAAATTTGCATTACAAAAGCCTATACATAAGAAAACCCTTTACGTATAAATCTTTAGCTTCCACTCTTCTGCACTGAAGTCTTTTCAAATATAATTTGCGGCCAAAAGCAACTTTATGATATCCTAGTACTTTAATATGTTGAGTATTTGTGTGAATGTAGTTTTTTTTTTAATTCTATTTTTAATTAGGAACTTCTTAGCAACAGAGCTAAATGTCAGTCCTATTTTTCCCTTAATACATTTATACCGCTAATAATACTAGTGAAAACCTATAAATATAAGTTATTTAAACTTAAAGTGATATACAGTTTTGGCTATCTCTGATAAAGGTTTAGACAGTGCGCTTTGAAAATCTCCCACATCATTCCAGCAAACGTTAAAATGGCGCATCAACTCCTGTCTCCTATCAGCGTTGTGAATGTAGCTATAGACATGAATAGGATTTTCCATAAAGAAATCGTCATTACTAAAACATTTTCAATATTTCAATAACTATATTATTTGTTTTAGATATAAATGCGACATTATATTAATGAAAACTGTACCAAAATCTGTTTCGTAGCTTACAAGAAGTAAGCGGAGAAACAGTCTGGCCGACAACGACTTTGCTTCATACTAGGTACAGACAAATATATGATGAGCGATTGCGAACACTTTGCATTTTCTCATGAAAATGAAAGACTTTATCGCATTGAATTGTTAAATATGTTAATAATAACTCTGCTACTAATAGTTTTTATGTAATAAGTAATAGAAATTTTTGTATGAAGAACAACTCGGCGGACCAGTTTTTGTGTTTTCCCGTGGAAATGAGAGATTTTCCTGTAGTAAATGATATCCTAAACATTGGGCCGAGTAATAAGTTATCACTACACAATAGTTAAAATCTATTAAGTATTTTTTGCGTGAAATTTACATAGATATATAGACAAACAGACACTTTAAATCAATACCTACTTTTTCTACTGTACATATAATAAATAGTCTGTAATAGCAGATAATAAATTCAAAAATAAAGCTTCATCTTCACATTCAATGCACTCCTATAAAAACAGAGGTATGTTTATTGACTTGACGCTAATGAGAAAAACATGCGGGGAAACCCCTAGAAAACAAATTGAACATACGCAATTTCACCAACGTAGACAATATTGCCAACAATAGTGATGCCCATACCCAGGCCACTAATAACCCTCACAGCATAAATCATGGCAATATTAGTAGTAGTCACCACGAGGATGTATGATACAATATTCAGACATCCACCTATGATCAAACATGGTTTGCGACCGATCACATTCGAAAGGATTCCTGTGACATATGGCCCTGAAACAAAATTATTTGAAAATATAAATAAAATTAAATAATATAAAACTAATTTTGGCCTACAGGCCGCAGCTTCGCTCACGTAGCTCAAACCAACAATAAAACAAAAATCCAACTATCTTTTCCGCTTTTCACACACTAGCGACTCACCCCCGCTTCGCTCGGGTTCATCCCTAGGTTGCATCCCCATACAAACTTTCATCCCCTTTAGGGGTGATTTCCAGGATAAAAACTATCCTATGTCCTTCCCAGGGTCTCAAACTACCTTCTTCCTAAATTTCATCAAAATCGGTTCAGTAGTTTCGGAGCCTATTCGGTACAAATAAACAAAAAACAGATCTTTCATCTTTATAATATTAGTATAGACTACACGCGAATGTGTACGTGTGTGTATGGTTGTTACTCCTTCACGCTGTAACGGCTGGTCAGATTTGGATAAAATTTTGTACACGGAGAGGATATAACCTCAAGTAACACAATATATGAATTTATTCCAGAGAAAGCGCGTTGAAACAAACAATACAACAAGTAAACAAAGATTTAAATTTTACATTAGTAAGTCATAAGTATCATGCTGTTTTCTGTTCTTGGTAAGTAGAGAAAACAAATTATGGACACCTTCTGCCTCAAGACGTTGCTTAAAATTAGGTGATTGATTCGTTAAATCAACCCGAGGGCATTGAACCCGCAAAATTCAGTATCGTCTATCATGATTATATACAAAAACTATATATATATATATATTTCAACCATATATATTTTTTCCTGAAAAAAAAAGGTTTTGTATATATTTAAACAGGTTAATTAATCTTCATACGTACATACGTACAATTTGTATGTGTAAGTGTGTATCAGTGTGTGCATCTTTATTACGCCTTCACGCTGACACGACTAAACAGATTTGGATAAATTTAGTACACAGATTACGGGTTGGAGTAACGAATAGACTGCTGTATAGTAATAAGTTTGACAAAATGCGACGCGACCAATATACATATATAAATTCTAATATATAAAAATCTCGTGTCACGATATTTGTGGTCGCACTCCTACGAAACGGCTCAACCGATTTTAATGGGGTTTTTTTGTATATTTTGTGGGTATAAAAATAGGTCGTAAACTATTTTTCACCCTCCTACCCCCACCCCCCATTTTTTAATCGCGATTTTTGTATCATTGTATGAACAATATTATACAGAACATATATAAAGCTGAAGAGTTTATTTTTTGTAGATTGAGCGCAGGCCTAACCGCGGGTTCGGCTAGTAATCTTAATATATATATTTCTTGTGTGCGTGTGTATGTGACTGAACTCCTCCTAAACAACTGGACCGATTTTGATGAAATTTTTTGTGTGTGTTCAAGGGGATCTGGGAATGGTTTAGATTCACAATTTTGTGTATAAATATGTATAAAAATGTAAAACTTAATTTTATAATAATGAAAGAATCATACAGCGCCATCTATCGCAGCTTATTACACATTACGTTTTCATTGTTAAATAACAGCGCCATCTAACGTTATAGTTTAGCAACTATTATAAAATAAAATTTGTTTAATCAAATGAATAAACTTTATTTTAATTAATTCTTAATTTATTAGTAGTTGTTTATTTTGGAATGTTTTACATTGGATCCGACAGACGGCGCTACCATCGCAGTGTCAAATTTTAAATAGTATTCGAATTTTAATTTTAGTCTGTCCCGACAGTTAGCGCTGCGATCAAATTAAAAAAAGTTAAATTAAATAATAATACCTATATAATTCTTCTGTACGTGTGTTTGTCATCTTACTCCTCCTAAAGGGCTGGACCGATTTGGATGAAATATTGTATATATATTTCAATGGGCTCCAGGATTGTTTGAAAATACAACTGGACCCGGTAGGTGAGGCTGCAGTCGGTGTGTCAAAGTTTTTTTTTGTAGTTTGAACGCGGGCGACGCCGCGGGTACTGCTAGTATTATATAAAAAAGCACCTGGGGAAGAATCTGAGCAAAATGAGAGTTACTAGTAATAAAATAAAAGTCACATTTGTTTACTTACCAACCATCGCTCCAATGTAGAGTAAAGATCCCACCCACGATGCTTGCAGATCCGTTATACGTCCAGGTAGAGGCGTTTGCTCTGGGTCTTGTAGCTTAGGTATAATCGGGGCAGACCATCCTACACTATATCCAACGACTATTTGACCAATGTTTACTAGAAAAAATTAGAATATCTTGTTATGAAATAAGCACAGGACAGATTTTAAGGTTTTGCTAACTATGGAATATAATATTAATTTGAAGCATGTCAATTGAGCACAATTTACACCGCCAATGTCACAATAATGAATTATGATAGCACGTACGGCTTCAGATCCGTGGGTCTTGGGTTCGAATCTATGTCAGGCCAGATATAGTTGAGTTTTTATTTTGAGAAACTCAGTAGCAGCTCCAAAGGTGGAAGTTATCAACCTTACCCACCTTCTTGAGAACGTAAAGCCATCGATTCTGTGCCCGATCCCATTGGTAGTGTAAAAGTATCGCATCATTGGACTTTGAAAGTGAAAGGAATAATAAATAATAATAATAAATATGTTGGGATATTAACACAGCACCATCTAGTTCCATGGTAATGCTTCGAGGCTTGGGTTATGGCCACCAAATAGTTGATACACTACATATATATGTATAGCTTTAAATACATACATATCATAAATATAAACACTCATGACTGGAGTACAAGCATTCATGCTCATCACATAAATGAATGCCCCCAGTGGGACTCGAACCTGCGACCGCTGGCATAGCAAGTAGGGTCACTACAAACTGAGCCAAACTTGTCGTCATAGAGAGACGGCACATCAATAGAGAGTGCACTTATGTTTGCGCACACATTTTTACAATGTAATATTTCCTACGCACATACCTAGTCTCAATTTGATTGGCCGCCGTGACCGAAATCGATCAGGTAGCCAATATTAAATTAAAGAAGCCATAGTGGAAATGGAAAGTTATAGAAAACTGACTATGAAGACACGTGATTAGAACATGCAAATTGGATAGAAAATGCATATTTTTGGTTCATAGAAAATGAACTTAAATTCAAGACTGTCTAATTAAAGGTCAAACTCAGAAGCTGTCACCTAAGACTCAGTATCTTTTTTTTTGTTTTGTAAAGCTAAGTGTTGCTTAAGAATTTGCCCTTGATCTCCCTTTCTCTACCAATATCGATCTCTAGTCATGACATTCACATATAATCTCTATACGCAATATTATTAAATATAAATGTACAAACATATTTATCAATAATGCGATATAATTTTAACAAAAACATACACCTGCAGAGAACAATATTGTAAATCCATATTGAGATTCTTGAGAACTTCTCTTAGAATTAATGTCTAGATTCAAAATTACTAAGTTACAAAGCTGTTCCTTGCAGGATATATTATATGACCTCCACTGTACATAACTGCATAGCTAGAAGCTATAACTCTGGGTCTGATTAAGCTTTTGGAATGAACATTAAACTGTATTTGCTTTTCGGAGAATTTAGTAGTTCATGGAAATCTCCTCAGCCATTTTCACTTGGCATATTATACGTAGCTATAAAACAACTTTTAATTTTTTTCAGCTTTTAGCCCCTTTTTAAAAACCCACCCAGGTTGATAAAATTCACTAATTTTACGGACGTAAAACAATTATAAAAAAATCATTTTATATTTAAAAATATTGAAAGTTGTTCATTTCATAAGGTAAACTTAGATACATTGATGTGGTCATGACAAATCTTGAAATAATAATTTTATAAAAATATTTAGTAACCCTCGCTCCGCTGGTGTTCGTCCATAGAATTTAGTTTTAACGTTTAGTATAGATTTCTCAGAGATGAAATATTTTCTGGCAATATCCTATATGTTGACCTGGATAACCAGCTATTAACATACCAAATTTCATCAAAATCCCTCCAGTGGTTTTTCCGTGATGCGGCCACAGACAAACAGACAGACAGACAAAAGTTTAAAAAACTATAGATTCGGCATCTGTATCGATAACAATATCTATTTCAATAAGGTTTCCCAAGAAATATTTAATGAACAGATTCGGCTTAGTTATAATTTTATTATAGGTATGTTTAGATTTGCTATTTTTATCTATTGAAAACATCCATCACTTTGAAGAGCTTCATTGAACTCAATGTACCTATATTGTTTATATCATATGAATGATGAAATTTTATTATAATATAGTTTGAGCTATATAGCATTGTTTATTTAGAAACCATTGCTTATTAATTTCTAAGTCGGTATTGCTTAGACGTTTATCTAATTGTTTACTATAAAATTGTCAAACAAAATATTGTTTAAATACTTACTACAAACGATTATAAGCAGCTGATATTTTATATTTGTCTCCATTTTTACTTTTTTCTCCACTGGTGTATATTCGTATTTCACTTCCATGAATCACAATTTTTTATTAAATCTAGACTTAAATCATCTCCAAGAACCTATTTTACATGTCCAACACAAAAAGTGACTGATAGCAAAACTCCGATATTTCTTATTATTTTGTTTTTAGAGATCCTTAATTATGTACATACTATATAATATTTGAAATGAAGCTTATCTTACTTTAAATTACCATTAAATTAATCAAGAAGCAAGACGAAGGTTGTAAATACTATTTTATGAATAATCACACTCTAAATTACAGGCAGACCACAATAACTATGGGGTGGCTCCCAAGGGCCACTCTGCTATCAGAGAAGTACCATGAGCAACTGGCATGGTACACCGCCCATCGAGGTGGGCCTCCTTCCAGTGCCTTTCTTGGCCTCATGCCCGGTTCCATTGCTCATTATGGACCCCCAAAAATGACAAGATGAATACACATTTTAGGGACACTCTCAATTACCTAAAGTGTGATAAAAAATAAAGGAGCTATTTTTGTCTATTTGTTAACGTTATTATCATTTCCAACATGATGATCCACTTTTTTACGGTGAAGGAAAACATCATGAAGCTACATATCTAGCACGTTTTTGAAAGACATGTCCGCCTATCCGCACTTGGCCAGCGTGGTGGACTATGGCCTGATCCCCTTCATATTCAAGAGAGACCCGTGCCCGTGCTGTGTGACGTTAAAAAGGGCTAAATACAATAACGACAAAAGGCGGTCTGCCAACAATAAATTCGCTTCATTACCTTATTTCTGTCAATTTCTTATTCTGGATTTAATCAATAAAAAACTGCATTTTATTTGATACAAGATTTCAGATGTGATTACTAGTCATATTTCTTACTATTTCAATATCATTTTTAGATGATGCCTCTTAGTAACATTTAAGTTTTCACTTTCATGTATCCTTACATAAGAGCTTGACCTTATATATGAGGATTACAAATATTAGCCTCGTCCGATAATTGAACCTGCACTCTCTAGTAAACTAAGTAGTGACCATCCACTAGCAATTTGCCGTCAATTTGTATACAATAATATATTACGGAACACGCAAAATATATTTTTAAATTAAATGATAACAGTAATTAATATTGCAGTAAAAAACAACACCGATTTTAATAGATGCTTATCACAAAAATCTTTTTCATATACACATTAAAGAAGCCGCAACTAATGTATTACGTTAAATAATGTTGTATTTCGATACGTGAAAAAAGGTTCCATATAGGCTTCCATAGAGCTTTAACCAAAATCACTATACGCCATATTCAATTTTTTTAGCGAATTTGATCATACCTATCATATAAGATAGGTATATAAAATAAAAACAATCTTATTATTTGACGTCACGTTTGGCTCAGTTTGTCGTGAACCTACTTGCTGTGCCAGCGGTCGCGGGTTCGAGTCCCGCTGGGGTCATTCATTTTTGTGATGAGTACGAATGTTTGTACTCCAGCCATGGGTATTTATATTTATAAAATGTATGTATTTAAAGTTGTATATGTATAATGTATCAACTATCTGGTATCCATTACACAAGCCTCATAGCTTACCATGGAACTATATGGTGTTGTGTGTTAATGTCCTGACATATTTATTTATTTATTGAAGTAATTTGTCTTCTAAACTAGGCATAGAATAATATGCAATTGAAATTCTAATATCTCATAATAATCTCTCTTCTAATATATAAAATTTCCATGTCACAATGTTATTTACCGTACTCCTCCGAAACGGCTTTACCGATTTTTACCAAATTTTAATATGCGTATTCAGTAAGTCTGAGAATCGGCTACTATCTATTTTCCATACCCTTAAGTGTTAAGAGTGGCCCACATTAGGGACGAATCCGAGCGGAGCGAGGGTGAGTCGCTAGTATCTAATAATTATATGGAAAATTTTAATTCGTGTATTTTAAATTATAATAGTAAGTAGGTAACTAAATTCGTAAAATAATCAATGTCGGTATTTAGAAAGTATTTGTGTAATGTGAAATATTAGATTTTATAGAACTACCTTATCGAATGCTTACCAAATGATTGCTGTAAAGCATTCTGACTGTTGCTTCGCGAGAACCAAAAAGCAAATCGACGGAAACATTCAAAAAAGTAGTATTTAAAAGTTTATTTTTTTTTGGTTTGTAGTGATTATTATTTTTGCATAAAGTGTTTTCTATCAAAATTATTTCTTGTGTTGCTTTTTTTGAAACACCCTATATTTTGGCGTTACACGTGTTTTGAAAATAAGTATTATTGTCAGGTGCACAATACATACATAATTATCGTAATAAAAATTTAGGTAAATTATAGATAGTTAAAACGTAACTAGGGATGAACCCGAGCAGAGCGGGTGAGTTGCTAGTAGTAATAATATACTATTCTATTATACGACAGATAAACCTTGCAAATACATATATTAGCATCATAATGTGCGCAAATACTGAATATTGATGCCATTCCACTAATAAATGTCCACTTCGTATCTATAAATAAAATTGTAACGTATGTTCGTTCACAAAAATTACTTTCTTCCTATAAATATGTGAGTAAACTAAACTGGATAAAAACTATATTAAATTTTAAACAATGTTAAATTTATCAAAACTGAATTCCATATTGAACCTATCTACGTGATTTCTCATCTACAAATATTATAAAACTGAGCGTTTATTTGCTCTTGCGTGTTCCTAGGCGCTCTGGTATTATTAGCATTCAAGTTTGAAAAAATCTTTTTATATTTTATAGCGTATTTATTGAGGACGATTATATGCTAACATCGCGCTGCGACCCTTAGGTACAGAACAATTATAGGTACTTAAATAAACCACGCGAGCGTCGCAAAAGCTATTCAAAAGCTTAAAGAATATAAATTCTTTACCTTATTTCAGAATTAATTTCTGAAACAATTAAATAAGAAGGCCACGTTTTTTTGAGTATAAAAAATGTCCTACTCCATTGTTAGGGTTCTGTAACCTAAGTGTAATAAAAAAAATAAAAAAACCAACGAACCGAAAAATCTACAAAAAAGAGGAAACAAGTCAATGAAACAAGTAGTAATATACTAGCAGTCAGACATACCTGTTTTAACACTGCTGCGAATCTAGCTACGTCTATATACAATGTACATACATACATACAGGTCAAGCACATAGCGCCTCCTGTGGGCTTCGCCGCAGTTGGGTACAAATAAAACTCCTACAAGATCTTCATGCCCTTCCGTCCGTATGACACACATTTTATTCGAAAACTATTGGAGTTACATGACTAAAATTTTACAAGTAGGTGCTCCATGTAAATTGCTAGACAAAAAATAGGGGTGACTATAGATACGGAACCTTAATAAAACACTTAGCTCTACCCACAAGATACGGTTATGTAAATATTAAAGATACGTTTGAAGTTAGAACGCATGGAAACAACCCATCAATATATCCAATTTCACGCAAGAATAGCTATCTTTATCTTCAAAATTATTGAGAACACTAATTGCTTGTTACAGTTCACAAAGTTGTTAGAAGTGTTACATAAGACATATATAATATAATATGTATGTAATGGAAGGCTCAATGCTTTAATGATTAATCAATCACAGTTGATATTTCTTTGTATTTACTTATTCACGTTTTTTTATGATATTCAGTGACAAACGAGCAGACAGCATACCTGATGGAAAGCGATACCTGTCGCCCATAACACCTACGGTTCATGGACTTAGGTTTTATGTTACAAAAATACAGAACCGCAGGTGTGTTGTCACTGTGAGGGATGATATGCCTCTTGCCTGTGATTCCGCTGGCTACCTTATCCTTCAAACCGGAACACAACAATATAATCATTGTTGCTTGGCGGGAGAAATAGATAAGGGTGTGGTACCCATCCAGTCGGACTCCTCAGCCTTGACAAAGCCCTACCACCAGTAAAAACGTGCTCATATTTTCATTCCATACTAACTGTGATAAACAGTTACAGAAAAAGTAAGCGTGCGAGTAGGTTTACCGCAGAGCTCTTAGCCAGCAGTCTCGACATAGTTGGCGAGCGCTATTATTACGACATCGAAATCGAATGATTTCGACGTAGCGGATTTATGTTAATATACCAAGAACTCTGTGACATTATAACATTATAACGATTTTGAAAATTTTAAAAGTTAAGATTTATTATTAGTATTTTATTTTAAACGACATAGTACATACCTATTTACTTTTTTAACGTAAGGAAACGCATTTATGCATACAACCTGTACAATTGTGGGTGGTTATGTTGGGTTGGCTAGTTAAACCAGTACTATACACTAAAACCAAGTGGAAACTTCCCCATCTCAATAGGGCGTAGCAGAATCACTTTCGCACTCAACCACGACGAACGATATGACGGTTGGCCTATCAAGGCAGACCACAACAACGAGCTTCTAAGTTTTGAATCCAGGAACAAATCAAGCAATTAACAAAACCTTTGAAACCGATAGTAGAAAAAGTAGCTCTAGACTTAGAGCAATGTGAGTACACATTTTTTTTTAAATGTTTATTGATTTTCTGTTTCAATTTCAATGTTATTTATACGCTTCGCTGTTTCACAACCCTAGTTAGTAGTTCATGTTCTAATACAAGCACAATAATAAGCTAAAATATAAACATCACATCACTCTTTGGCTTCAGGCTTTGAGTTAGTCTATAGGCTATAATATATAATTATAATTGTAAATAAAAGTATCTTTTCTCACTTTTTCGCGGATTTATTCTGATTTTTAATTCGCGTCGTTTCGGATGCTTTATAGCAAACATGGTCACCATGTTTATCATTTAAAATGTAAGTGTTTGTAACGCATTGTAGATATATATTATATAGGTCTGCCTTCAGCCTTGTCTGACCATGTAAATATTATATACATATATCATAACTAAGCAGTAATTATTTAAAGTTAATTGTATTTTTTTAATAGACTACACTAGTAACTTTGATGAATAAAAAATCAATGCTCTAGCTTTTTATTTATTACATTTAAATTAAATTAGGAATTAAAAAAAATGACTTGTAAAATTACAGACATGATAATATGAATGTATCACATTCGCCGTCCAGGATTTCCCGGACAATAACAGGGTTTCTTACACATTGATTTAGGACCTTTTTGCGAACATCCCTTATGACTAGTGCCATTTTTTTCTCGAACTACTTGCTGCATTTTTGCCATTAAATTATTGATTTGATTAGTCAACTGCCCGACAGTGTTGCACATCTGTTCAAGGGTTCCTAATGATGGAATTATAGGCCTGCCCTTACGACCTATATCGCCTGGAATATCATCAGATGAACAGCCTGCTGGGCATCCGTTAGCAACCAGGCAACTATCTGAAGACGCTGATGCATAACCAGGAAACGGGTGGTTAGGAGGTGCACATGGTTGTATAGGTAATGGTTGTGGAGCGTCTGGTAAATTTGGATAACTATTTGGCTTACAACTCTTTCCACATTTATTTAGCGCACATCCTGTAGAAACTGGCATTTGCTCTTTTGCATGTCCCTTGTTGATTGGGCATAGCATGTTTTCACATCTTGGAGGATTGTTAGCTGAGCATTGGGTATTAGTACAACTGAATGGTTCATTTATTGTGTACTCTTTGGGTAACCTTGTTTTACAGTCCGGACACGGACATATTATTTTTATTACACCAGCTTTTATGTCCTTAATTTTTCCGGGAGTATAGTTTAGACAGTTGTAATGCACCCAGCTTTGGCAAGCGCCTTGGCATTGTAAGCCATTTTTTTGAGAAACTGGTCCTAAACAAATTTTGCACGGGTTTTTTATTTTGTTGCATTTTGGCATTTTGTTTAACTTTGAATGAGTTTTGTGATTCTGCTTAGCATTTTTAGAGCTTACAGCTTAACTCATGGTGGAAATTTTGACTAGACTCACTTGTCAAGTTTGATGACACCGTGAAGACAGTGATAGTTAACAAATTTTAATTTCTTTTTTCCATACGTACTTACATTGAAACTTGGGTTTTTATTTATGAAAGAAGTTCGACATAAATTTAAAAAGACTTTTATTATTTACTGAACTCTGATTGTTTTCATTTTACATATAAGCTCTCTAAGTTGAGTAGATAATTGACCAACTGTATTACACAAGTTTTCTAAAGCGCAAAATAACATTGTTTGATCTACACCTGAAAGTTGTGAGTCGGATGAAATCGTACGCACTGGCCCACACTGCTTACCTGAAAAAAAGTTATTATTTTTATTGGTATTTTCATTCCCCACTTTTTTTTTGGTTATAGCATTAAATATTATAATTATAATAAAGAGAAACTTTTTGGTAAGCAAACCCTGTAACGGCAAATCGTAAAATTAACATCGATCTTAAACTCTATTTCAGTCTGTGTAAAATATTTATAAAAATATAGACCACAGTATGTATTTGATGATGACAAAATAATTATAATCTGTATATATTATAGTGATAGTAGTATCACTGTTATCGGTGAGTTCCAATAACCTATCTATCTTTGGATATCTATCTCTAATAAGGAAAATTGCAGGTAGATAGGTTACTGAGATCCGCCGTAAGTCTAAGTAGTATTGTATACTGATACACTGCACATTTCACTATAAAAAACCTCTGAAAAAAAACACAATAGCTTATGAAAATAATTTTAAATAGTAAGTAAAAAAAAATAACAGATCTTCTACAACTACAAGTTCGCTACGTCAAACAAAAAAAATCTTGTCGAAGTCAGAACAGTATCAGATTGAAAGCAACTATGGCCACGAACAATTAAATATTATACAATATGTGCACGTATATGCAAAAATAGGTGACACAGGTAGGGTTAAGAACCGAGTAACAAAGAACGACAGTGAGGAAGATCACGTAAGTTTTTATTAACAAACACATAAATTATCTCCGAAATATAAAAATTGTAAACTTTTACGAATAATAATGTTTTTCATTAATAACGTTCTCTAGACCGATTTCGGCCACGGAGGCCAATCTCACTAAGACAAGCCAGATGCACAGGAGATATTACATGCGCTATTACAAGGAAGTGTATCCGCAGACACAAGTGAACTCTCTATTCCTTTTACTCTCAAAGCCCGATGGGACGATATTTCAGAGAGTTAAGGCGCAGGACCCACGGTTTTACGTGCTCTCCAAAACACGGGAATGAAACACCGCCAACTTCCCAACTCTGGGCTGTTACTGAGAATATCTTAACAGAGAAACCCCTGAGACATCTTCAGAGAACTGGGATTCGAACCTGGGACCTCCGGATCTGTAGCTGTACATGCTAGCCACTATCGAGACAGTAAATTACTGGGTACACAAATACAAGATTTATTTAATCTATTATATTCTCTACTTCTAATTTAATCGTAATACACATATAAGAGTTACTTCTTTCTGTAACGTACGTACTTTCTACAAAATATTTTTTTGTGCAAAAAAAATACCTGAATAAGAGTTATTCACAAAATCTGAACACGACTTTGACTGTTTGGGTGAAAAGTTGTTATATACAGTTTTTCCAACTTGTGAAGGACACGGTGAATATGAGCTTTTCGGGTTTTTTGTTAATGAAATACTTGTTGAAATATTACACTGGGGTGGTGATGAAGTGCGTTTTAGGGGTGCCGAGGTTTGCTTGTTTTGGCATTTAGGTGAAGAAATAGGTGAACGACCGTACTCAAAAGGAGGAGGAGGATACGTTGGTATAGGATTTTGTTTAGATGGACACTCTGTGGAAGCACAGACTGGTAGCTTATTTGCAGGACATTGAGTGTTCGTACAGGTGAAAGGTGGATCTGTTAAAACCTCCTTCGGCTGTGATGTATTGCAATCGGGACAAGGACAAGTAATTTTTATAATTTTAGCCTTAATATCTTGTATTTTTCCAGGGGTATAGTTTAAGCATTTAAAATGAGCCCATTTTTGACATGCGCCTTGACACTGCAAGCCCGTTTTCTTAGTGACTGCCTGGAAACAAATCTTGCATGGATTTTTAACTTTGGTACACTTCTTCATATTGTTTATTATTTTATTTGCTTCATTGTGCAGTCTTTAATTTATTATGCAGTATTTTTATTATGAAATCATGACTTTACAAACTTGGACAAGATTATTCTTTATTTTATCAACACAGGCATTTTCTAATAAAATGATTAGCAGTTGTCAAAGTTTGACAATCTATGCGTAATAGAAATTATCTGTTTATCTACTTACAAAAAAATATTCTTGTAATACGATGCATTGTGTTAAATTGCGGTTGGCGGATGGTGGCAGTGGTCCCCCCCCCCCCCCAACGTGCGTTCACCTTGTCGTGGTGGGGGGGCTCAGTAGTGCCCGGCAATCCAACCGGGCGCGAAGCTAAGAAACGCACAGGGAGGTTGCCCACTTCGGTGGGCGGTGGGAGGTGGCCCTCTTCGGAGGGCGGTATACCATGCGGGTTGCTCCTGGTACTTCTCTGATAGCAGAGTGGACTGTGGAGCAACCCCATGGTTGTGGTGGTCTGCTTCGGCAGACCTGCCGTCGGGGCGTCGTAGTTGAATGCGTAAGCGATCCTGCGACGCCCCATTAAGACGGGGGAAGGTTTTGTTGGGTTTTAGTGGGTAGTACTGGCTGTATTACGCCGGTGAGTCCCACACGTCGTGCGTAAATGCATTTCCCAACGTTAAAAAAAAAAAAAAATGGTGGCAGTGGTCCCCCCCAACGTGCGTTCACCTTGTCGTGGTTGGGGGGCTTAGTAGTGCCCGGCAATCCAACCGGGCGCGAAGCCAAGAAACGCACAGGGAGGTGGCCCACTTCGGTGGGCGGTGGGAGGTGGCCCTCTTCGGAGGACAGTGTACCATGCGGGTTGCTCCTGGTACTTCTCTGATAGCAGAGTGGACTGTGGAGCAACTCCGTGGTTGTTGTGGTCTGCTTCGACAGACCTGCCGTTGGGGCGTCGTGGTTGAATGCGTAAGCGATCCTGCGACGCCCCATTAAGACGGGGGAAGGTTTTATTGGGTTTAAGTGGGTAGTACTGGCTTTGCCGGTGAGTCCCACACCTCGTGCGTAAATGCATTTCCCAACATTAAAAAAAAATAAAAGAAAAATAAAAGAAAAAAATGGTGGCAGTGGTCATCACGATAGCAGATCTGACTAAGATTGTGGTATCTAAGGAGACCAAGTATTTCCATTCACATTAGATCCTATTTTTATCGTAGATCCCCTTACCACCCACAGTGCTGTATTTTATAATTATTCAACATATTATTATTATTCAAAAACATAACTATGGCAATTAAAATACTCTATTGCATAGTTGTTGCATAGTTAACATTAAAACGCCAATTGCCAAAGCATTAGTCATTACAAATAATTAATATCATGAGACTCACGATACGAATTTCATACTACGGCCTTTTTGAATTAGCCCTAGCGCATAGTGGACGCTTTTTCCACATGTAAACGTATTTGGTATTTGAGGCTAGCTGCGTAAATTACAGATATATACCTACATTACGTGTATACCCATAATTATTATTATATATATTTATACAGATTTATAAAATCCATAAATTCAATTCAATTTCTTTGTTTAGTAGCTTCTTGTAAAATCCATCAATATATTTCTGAACGCGGCAAAATAGAATCAGTTTAAACTGTCAATGTCATATATTCCAAGTGTCAGTTTACTATTGGAAGTTTATAGGTTATTTTTTGTTAAAAAATTAAAATATACTTCATATAAATCCTACAAAATGCCGTTCATGAAAGGAAGAGCACCGATTCGACGTACATTAAACTATCTTAATGCAGGGAAACTAATATTTAAGGACAAAATAAAGATATTCTCAGTGGCTTATAACATCCACGGACAGAACAATTCGGGCGCTAAAGACTTTGTTTTCTGGTATCTTCCCCAAATTCAGTATAAAAATCCTGACGTGCAAGTGGCTACATTAAAAAATTTAACACCTTCTCCATTCATAAAATGTTACTTCGAGGACGGAAGACAAATTTTAGTTGACGTAGATAATAAGTCCAAAGAAGATATTTTGGAACATTTGTTAAACACAGTTGGAAAGTCCAAAGAGGTTCTTGAAGCTGAGGCTATTGCTGCAGAGAAAAAGGATAATCCTGCGAACTTTGGTGCTGGTTGTGAAAGACCATGCATATGTGAAGTGTATGGTCAAATACCATGTCCTGGTGTAGTTCCCTTACCCAAAATTATGCGTGGAAAATACAAAAACCAAACTGATTAGTTATTTAGGATATAATGGCATAAGTTGTAATTTAGGTATGTAAAATAAATATAGATTTCTTATTATAAAACTTTTTATTTTTAATGCTTCCAATTTTCATTACCACAGAGATTTCCATCACCTTAAACAAATAAAGTGAATTATACTTAGATTTTGATTTAACATCCAATTAATTAATATTTAAGAAATACAATAGTAAAAATATATATTTAAAGTAAAAGCTTACACAAATGAGAATAATCAGAACTTATGATCCTTTATTACATTTGCCATCAATGCAGCGGCAATATATTGAAAATTTTTAAATGCATCAAAAGTCTTTGAATTTTTGTGTAAAAACAGATTGTCATCAACTTCATGACCTCTAGGCCCAGTGTGGAAAAAAATCCACTTGCCTTGGGTATGTGACTCTATGTCCTAAAATAATAATTAAGATTTATTTATTTGAAAAGCTCTATCTAAAATATAATAATCTAAGCTATGTGTCTGTTAAAATAATTTGACCCAATGACACATATATGTTGTTGTATAAATAAATAATTACTCTTGAACATGTAAGTTTAACTCTTATTTGAAAAGATTTGCAATAATTATGTGTATAATATATTAAGCCCTTATTGTCTTAATCTGGACAAGGGTCGCCTCGAGTACTCAGGGGATATGGTTATAGATTACCATGCTGGCCAAGTGCAATCTGCACTTTGCAATTTGGAAGCATATTTTTTAAAAACTTCATAGTTTTTCAAAAACATACAAGTTTACTTGCAATGTTTTCCTTTCTTCATCATAAGGCAAGTTGTTATCTTGTTGAACTGGGCTACTACTACCTTCATATATTATAAAGTATTAGGCTCACCCTCGCTTCGCTCGGGTTCATCCCTAGGTATGTTTTAACAGTTAGTATGGAATAGATATATTCTTGCTTGAAATCTATCACATTCTTTACTCTCACCAACCATTATAAATAATGATGGTATTAACTATAATACCTTTAAAATATCATTTTATGCCCCAAATGTTACTATTATTATTATTATATTATAAAAACATTCATTTAAATAAACATTCATGTTCCCAAAATTAATGTAAACATTTTGAAAAAGTATACAATCTGACTGGCATTTTCGGCCGCAAATCCGGAGGCTCCGAATTCGAGTTCCGGGTTGGGCAATGTATTGTTATAAGGTGTTTCTGTCAAGAATTTGTCAAAGAAATTCAAGATTTGAGAAGCTGACTTTGTTAAGTCCCCGTACCTCGGAGAGAATTTTTTGTTTTCACACTTGTGCACATATCTCATGCTCAGATATAAGATTAGACACCTTGACCAAAATCAATCAGAAAGTTTTTTTTATTATAAGTACCTATACTAACTAAATTAAATAAACCAATATAGAAAGTACAGGTCACCATGCTAATCCTATCATTTATGCCCATGGAAAAATTCATACATTTGTAAATAATCATATATTAATTTGTCAATTAATTTCTATTTCACGATCGTAAAATCACCAATTAAGGATTGATAATTACCTTCTAGTATATATTGAAAAAAACATGAAATTTGTTTACGAGTCCGTCCAGACGTTCTATCCAACCGATTTGGTTAATTAGATTTTTATTTATGCACAGATTTGTCATGAAGCATTGGAAATCACCTAGCTTTCACATTTCTCGAGTTATACTCAAACGCGATTTCCTACTTTACTGCTTATGTTTTCATATCTTTCTTTCTCTACATATATATTCGGTTCTTATTGAAGTACGCGGTTCGTTTCGAATCTAAGAACACTCGCTGAAATAAACTCTTTCATTTAAGCTTTTGCTTACTTAAATTTTGAGTTGGTTGAGTTGGAAGGAAGCTAGATGTGAACATTCAAATGCTGCGGGTCCTCTAGTCTATATGATTTTATTTACCTCCACACTAAGTTTGAACTCATCAATTTTCTTCTCATTAGTGGGACCAGCTATTACTACTGTTGCATCTTTTAAAACGTCATCTTTAGACATGCACTCTTTAAGACCTGTGTGTCTTTGAGCACACATATCTTCACTGGCTTTAAATAGTAATGGATGTACAGGAGATTTCTGAAGCAGAAAACGGTTGGCTTGTTTATGTATATACATAAAGCTATTAAGCAGATTTTAATAGCATATAAAAGTGTCTGTCCGTCAGTCACATCGCTCATAACCCGTTTTCTCCGAACATATAAAATAGTGTAGGTGACTACTTTTTTTATATTTTTTGTATGTGCGTGTATGTTTGTTACTCCTTCAGCTTGAAAGGGTTGTACGGGTTTAGATAAAATGTAGTATCTAAACAGATATGCCCAGAACATGGACGAATTAGAGACAATTCGTTCATGGCCCAGAAGTAACATTGAAAAGTACTGAAGGGTACCTACTTAGGGAAACGCTAGAGTATATAAACGAATTCATTCATGGGCGCCGGGAGTGGATGGTGCACTTGCTACCCTCCTGCCATGAAAGAAAATACGAGTATATAGAATAAGTTTAAGAAATAAAATTGTACCTATAATACTTTCTTAGATTTACGCAAATATTTGACATTTTAAATAAAACTATCTTTTCGGATTTTGTCGCGGATTTATTTGCATTTTTGTTTCCCGACGTTTCGAATGCTTTACAGCATCCAAGGTCACGGGAGTCTCTCCCGTGACCATGGATGCTGCAAAAATTGTACCTATTAATAAAATGCCTGTTTAAATTTAGAAATCTGCGAAAGATGATGATAAATAAAGATATGAATAAAAATTATAAAGTTTAATCATTTAAAGATTAGTTAAAAGTTTAATGTCAAGTAGCAGATGCACCCTGGAAACAGGCGCGGATCCAGAGTTAAATTTTGGGGGGGGTCATAGGCTGAAATATACATATCATAATTTCGGGGGGTAGATTTTTACTAGACCTACAACTTTTGTAAAGAATATTTTTCGATAGGATGTCCAGCTAGGCAGAAATTAAAAAAAAAAACAATTTTTAAACGGTTTGCTATACTTGTCTTGTTTGCTATAAACGTCTTAAAAACATGAAACTTCCAGTTTAAATTTTTTGTGTAGCACATCGCGATGGGACTATTTGTATAGGGCTATTTAAATTAAAGAAAAACTTATTAGCGAATAAAAACTTAATTTGTTTCGAATTAGGCATTTAATAACAAAAAAATAAAAACCGACTTCAAACAAAAGCACTAAAAAGTAAAAAATAACTGATTGGTAGTTTTCATTTCATACATACCTAATCAAATATTTTCGAAGTCGGTGTGCTTTGCTTTATATGGCCTGGAACCGATTTCGAAAATATTTGATTAGGTATGTATTTAATAGGTAGGCTTTAATTACTTAGCCAAAGCACACCGACTTCGAAAATATTTGATTAGATATGTATAGTAAATGCCTCAGTGGTGTAGTGGCTAGCATGTACGGCTGCACACCCGGAGGTCCTGGGTTCGAGTCCCGGGTCGGGCCAAGTTTAGTTATTGAGTCTTCCTGTATAGTAAGTCTCAGTAACAGCCCGGAGTTGGGAAGTTGGCGGTGTTTCACCCCCGTGCCTCGGAGAGCACGTAAAGCCGTCGGTCCTGCGCCTTAACTCTCACCGGTCGTGTCTCGTGTCGTCCCACCGGAGTATGAGAGTGATAGGAATAGAGAGTGCACTTGTGTCTGCGCGTACACTTGAGCACTATAATATCTCCTGCGCAGTTGGCTAATCTCATTGAGATTGGCCGCCGTGGCCGGAATCGGCTAGGAGAACATCATAGTAAATGAAAACTACCAATCAGTTATTTTTTACTTTTTAGTGCTTTTGTTTGAAGTCGGTTTTTATTTTTTTGTTAAAAAGTCTTTATTTTTCCCTTTTTAGTGTAGACAGTAGTAGCATAGTAAAGATTCTAACGTGTTAGGCTTGTCAAATCAAACAAAATAAGCCCAAACTCAAAGTATCTACTATTAGCCGTTGAAGGGTTCCACCTATCCACCTTCTGGCCTTGCCATCAGATCAGATCAACAACACCGAACCACTGTACTATCAACGGAAATAGAAATACTTGCAAAGTTTCAAGTCAATATGACAATTAGAAGTAGGTTAAATTCATCATTAGTTCTTTTTCCACCCTTAGGGGTGGTATTTTTTTTTTGAAATTTAAATGAGACCAATCTGGAAAATGATATCCTTTCAAACAAAACAAAAATTGTCCAAATCGGTTAATAAATGACGGAGTTCTGAGGTAACAAACATAAAAAAAAAACATACAGTCGAATTGAGAACCTCCTCCTTTTTGAAGTCGGTTGAAAAAATTGTATTATTCCTTTTTTCTTAGACTTTAGACTTCTCAAAAAAGTATATTTGGCTTCCTTACTTCTCAAAAAAGTATATTGATCCAGGGGGGGTCATGACCCCCCCCCCCCCTGGATCCGCGCTTGCCTGGAAACAATTCTGCCACCGCCCACGAATACATTAACTGTAAAGTTTGGTTAAAATTAGTAAAAATTGTCTCACCTCACAACAGCATTTAAATCTTATATTAGCTCCAAGCATTGGACTTAACAGAAGATATGAGTTCAAGACGGGGTGCGGCGATCCAAAATATGCTAAATTTACATCTTTTAACGTTTTATATTCTTCCTAAAACAATCTCGTAAGCTCTACCACTCATATCATCACGATATAATATGATTTTTTATTATATCTATTTATGTAAAGAAAATTCTTATAGACGTTTGTCTATTTTCGTACATCCCATAGCATTTTTTAGGGTTAGATTCTTTATTTTGTATCTAATAACCAGGTCAAAAAAGTTGCATTTTTATTTGTTGACTATAACATTTACTCCATATTTCACACACGTATATGGTGGACAAGATCTCGTGTAAACTTCTGTGACCACCGACCGGTCAATAAAATGCACGGCGTCACTTCATGTGAAAGGGTCGATAACAATACCTTTATTACTACACCACGTTACATACATAACACAGATTTTACCCTTAAATTGTTTAAATTATACTTAATACTTTCTTAGATTTACGCGAATATTTGACATATTAAATAAAACTATCTTTCGGATTATTTCGCGGATTTATTTACATTTTTGATTGTTACTGTCTGTAACAAGTATATAGAGCCTTTGAGACGTCTAAAACCTTAGTCTCTCCCGTGACCATGATACCTGGAAAGCTTTCGAAACGTCGGGAACCAAAAATCAAAATAAATCCGCGAAATAATTGGTACACTAACGTTGATAGACATAATGGTGGCCAAGGCCTGTATGGTAGCGTGGGTCCTGGACCGCATGCACAGTACTGGCACAGTAGATTGCTCAGCAAAACGTTGCAGACACATATGCGTAACAGTTGCTACAAATATTGCGTCTGCCATATACGAAAATATTCTAAAAACAAATATACTTAATAAAATAATGAATATCTTTGAAAGTAGTGACTTACTCGAAGCGAGAGTGTAAATGGCAATTAAGACATACATACTAAAGTATTGACAGCAAAATCGTTCGAAGTGCGAACGCACAGACAGCACAATAATAACAGCGATCACTTGCAAAAGAATCGGAGGTGGCACTTAGGAAAACACCCTAATATGGCCAGCATACAACCGGGGTCTAGTACCCACTAGCCTCTATTTATATTTTTTATCTATCCCTATTCATGGTCATCACGGATTCTTAAACGTCGTATGGGATCGAGCTACCTCAGGTGATAATAATTGACCATAAATAAGCTATAACACTCATCGACCCTTAAAGTAGTCTCTATACCAATAATCATGTCGAATGTCGATCCTTTAGTCTCTTCTGCGTGAAGAGTAAGAGACAAATCAACAAACACGTCACATTTAGGTATTAGTATGTTAAGAAAGTATTTATAAAAAAAAAAAGTTAGTCTATGTAGTATTTAATCATTTTATAGTAGTAATATTTATTGATTTATATGAATTTATTACCTTCCCATATAATCATTTTCCCAATGCAAATTATCCGTTATATTTACGTCGTAAGCGCCAAGCAACGTGGCCGCTTTCGATACCGCCATATTTAAAAACGGCTCATTTACTTCCTGCAGTATCATAACTTTTGAGTCCGCCAAAACTTCCTGATATAATATTCATATATGTTATAATATATTTTGTATAAATATTTTACTTTATTTCTATTAATATGGTTAATGGTTATTCGTTATCAAATGTCTTTCTTCTAAATCTATACTTATATAGTAAATGTGAAAACAACTATGTCTGTCTGTTTGTTTGTTACTTTTAAGGTGTAAATAAATGTGAACAAATTTCGATGAATTTTAACGAAGTCACAGATTTGAAGGTGAATATCATAACGAGAATAAATGTGTACTAAACAATTCATAAAGCAGGAATTGAAGATTATGAGCCCAAAGGTTTTGAATAATTAATTAGTTTTTAAAACCGTTTTAAGCTATTGCATAGCTTCTATCGCGGGCCTTGAGCGTGGGGACCGAATCCAGAAATTCCGTAACGAAAAAAACCTGACACCCCCCACTCCGACCGGCACAGCGGTAAGCGGTTCCATCTATCGATAAATACCAGAACTTTTAATGACTTTTTGAAATATCACGCTTGTCTCTTTAGTTCAGCAACCCGCCTTTAGGTGGCATTGGTTGTATTGGAAAACTACCGTAATCAGCTGTTTGTGAGAAAGTATATAGGTGTATAGGTATTTATCATCTATGTATAACAGTGAATATCTGTACTCGTATAATTTGTGTACAAAGTGTTTTAAATATGAATAAACAAAGTGCATTTATTAATGAAGAAAGTCACGAAAAAATAGTGAAAGAAAATGAGTTAGTACTCTATATACATTCATTTTATTATTATTATCACAAATGCAGTATTATTTTTTGTTTTGTTAATTTATATATAATACAGCTATAAAGATAACCAAAATTTTTGATATTAAAATAAGCTTGCATATTAAGTTGATAAAAAATGATATGCAATAGCTTTACCGCGGCAGTCTCCGAGTGCCACATTTAATTTTTTTTAAGAAAATAGCTACGTCATATAATAGGGGGGTTATCTTGTAACTTTTAGGCCATACATAAGTCCCCCCCAACGTGCGTCCACCTTGTCGTGGTAGGGGGGCTCAGTAGTGCCCGGCAATCCAGCCGGGCACGAAGCCAAGAAACGCACAGGGAGGTGGCCCACTTCGGTGGGCGGTGGGAGGTGGCCCTCTTCGGGGGGCGGTGTACCATGCGGGTTGCTCCTGGTACTTCTCTGATGCGTAAGCGACCCTGCGACGCCCCATTAAGACGGGGGAAGGTTTTGTTGGGTTTTAGTGGGTAGTACTGGCTTCGCCGGTGAGACCCACACTTCGTGCGTAAATGCATTTCCCAACGTTAAAAAAAGGCCATATATAAGTACTTTAAGCTAATTATAGGACGCTGTGGTAAAATAGTAAAAAAATGTGAAATGTTAACGTTTACGCGGGAACTGTATTATTCCGATACTAGCTACTCGGGTTCGTCCCTACTTACGTTTTAACGTTTAGTATAGATTTCTCAGAGATGAGATGTTTTCCCGCAGTAAAAAGTATGATATATGTTGACCCGGATAACCAGCTATCATCATATCCAACCACCATATCAAATTTCATCAAAATCCGTCCAATGGTTTTTCCGTGATTCTAAAAACTATAGATTTTGCCTCTGTATCGATAATAATGTTTATTTCAATAAGAATTTCCAAAAAATATTTTATGTACAGATTCGGCTTACTTATAATTTTATTATATGTATGGATTATTAAGCGGTATTATCTCAAAGCAGTCTCATCCAGTTCTTTTCTTTTTTTTCTCTAAATGTATTTTGTAACCTATTACCTTATGGAATTTACCTACCAGACGAAAGGAATAGGGAATATACAAAAAAAATATTTCATTTTTATTTAAAACACACGCATTTTCAATATTTTTCATATAATTTAACATTCAAATTAAATTTTATCACAAATCAAGATAAAAAAATTAACGTACCAGTCTTTTCCCGTGCGTATCTTGTAATTTGCGTTTCAAATTCGTTGCGCTCTCAACTATGTCCGTTACCATATCGGAGGTCCAGTTTTTAAAGCATATTAGGTGTTTTGGCTTCGTGCATCTGAATTTTAATTATTTATTACTCCTACTAATGTTTGTTAAAACTCGACCATTATCATTATTGAAAATTTGAAGAAAACATATATAAATAGATTTTATCTATCTATATAAAAAACAGTTTCCAAATATTTTTGTCGATAACACTAAAGCTCGTCAATAGCTAAACAAAACAAAAAAAATACAGCCGAATTGAGAACCACCTCCTTTTTGAGGAAGTCGGTTGAAAAAGAAAACCGGTTGCCAAATACAGGAGAAAAAGGTACTGAAATGATTTGAATTTCCCAATCCTATTTATATATAGATATGACAATTTAAACCTACCAGTAAAAGTTTATTTATTCATTTGTATTAGGACGACAAGGAACACGAGTTCGATTCCCAGTCATATCAAAATTTGTCCGGCAAGAAAAATCTTCTAAAGTCATCGAAAAACTATAAGCACCTAGAATTTAGAAATAATATTTGTATTATACCACTGCTTATGTGATTTCTGATGAATTATAATTATTATGTCCACGCTTACTTTCAAGAAGTTCACGTAAGCGATATTCCTATTTAAAAACTCCAATAGGATCCCATCAAAAGCGACAAAAGCCACATAGAAACCAATAAATATTTATTGGTTTCTATGTGGCTTTTGTCGCTTTTGATGGGATTCTGTTGGAGTTTTTCAACAGGGTATATGGCTAGCATTGGACAAATTAACAAATGTAATTTATTTAAGTTATCTTAATAACTAGTGTCACGCAATTAAAACATGTTAGAAGATAATTTTTCAGAATGCAATCTGATAACTCAGAGTAAAAGATTGTCTATCGTATCAATCGATCGATCGAATAAATGCTATCTGGCACATTTAATGCTATGTGATTGAGATATCTGCTGCATTGGGCTTAAAAGTCGAAAGTCGTAAGTTAGTTTTTCTGCCACTATCATTGATCAAATGGAGTTTAAGTCTTTTAGTAATAGAAAGTCATGTTGTTTGAGTAATATAGGGGTTTTATATGTGGATATTACAAATTCCGCGCCGCTGCTATTTAATCTGGCCTTTCGAAATCTATATACAACCAGCGGCTCACCCTCGCTTCGCTCGCGTTCGTCGCTAGGTACGTTTTAAATAGATATAAATAGTTATTAGCCAGCGTTAGCCATATCAATTTTTTTTTTTTTTGTTATTGACAAATATTGACATTAATATTTATACGATACTAACGTCACTCAATTGTTTTGCCTTCCCGGAACCTCTCCACTAACACTTAAACTTTATGATATGGTATTAAAGTTTAAATTGACTTTTAAGTATTATTACGAATCTTTTGTATGTGAGTATAGAAAAGTGTTGTTTTTAGACTTTTTCATGCAATTTTTTAATTTTTTCTCTCCGTCAGAACCATCCTCGTACTTCAAGGAATATTCTAAAAAAAGAATTAGCGAAAACGGTTCTGCTGCTCTCGGGATTTGCGCTTACCAACACATTCAGCGATTCATTTTTATATTATAGACATATGCATATGTATATAGTCAAATGCCTCGGTGGTCTAGTGGCTAGCATGTATGACTGCGGATCCGGATGTCCTGAATTTAAGTACTGGATCGGGCCAAATTCAGTTCTTTATATTTCTGTCAAAAAACTCTGAGCAACAATCTCTTTTGGAAGCACGTAAAGCCGATCCTGCACCTTTACTCTCAATGTTCGTGTCGAGTAGTAGTGTTACCAATGATAAAATTAAGTCATATTTAGTTTTTTTCAAAAGATAGGTAAATTCTATCCATATAAGATTTCCTTAATGTTGATGGTCGAATTTCGTTATAAATATCCCGGAAAGTCGAAACTAGGATATGTCAAAAAAATATCCTTCATTTCTGTTTTTTTTGGTTGATTTATTGAAATCCATTCGTTAATCGTACCGCTACAGAAATCTTAGTCGTGCCTTTTTATCGACATGCGACGTGAGCTGAGTGGTGATCGGTAGCTTATGAAAATCTCATAATTTTTCTTTTCCCTCAATCTTCATTATACAATACTAGCATTGCCCGCGGCTCCGCCCGCGTTCAAATGACCAATAACTAAATTCTTAGGTTTTACATATTAGTATACTCTTACATTGCAGTTTTTCTATTTTTTCTCAGAAATGAGATATTTTCCCACGGTAAAATGTATCCTATATGTTGACCCGGATAACCAGATATCAGCATACCAAATTTCATCAAAATCCCTCTAGTGATTTTTCTGTGTTGCGGTAACAAACAGACAAACAGACAAAAATTCTAAAAACTATAGATTCGGACTCTGTATCGATAATAATGTCTATTTCAATTAGATTTCCCAAAAAATATTTAATGTACAGATTCGACTTAGTTACAATTTTATTATATGTATAGATTAGGTACTTACATACATTGTCGTTTCCTTACTTGTTGTACTATAGGGGAAAAAAAACTTATTTTTTTTAATAAACCCATATTTGTAAAGTTTACATAAACAAGCCTCTGGTTATCATATTTTAATAATCATTATTTTCATTATGAAAGTTATTTTTTTATAAAAATTAAGATGATATTGACGGATTATGACATTTAGAAGATTAAGTTTTTTTAATTATCTGTACACAACTTGAATGGCAGCGATAAAGAACTTTTTAGATAGTTTTAAGCCTTGTGTTTGTGTTATGCGATATCTTTATCTAAAAACTGATTTTAACGATGTTTTTTTTACCTAAACTGTAAACGACTGCATAATAAATACTTACTATGCTTCTATGTCAACTTGTTCTCATATTTTTCAGTTTTTACGCAGTCTTTACAGTACGCAATCTTTGCAGTTTTTACTTTATCTTTTTACTATATACAGTATTATCAATTAATCTTTCATTTATTTAAATCGCGTGTTTTGATTCATAACGCTCACATGCTAATCTATAGATCAAAGAGCTTAAATGTTAACATTTATAATGACGTAGGTATCATTAGTTTCGTCGCAACCGTCTGTCCGTTTGTCGTAGCACTTTACTCGGAAACTCTGGTACTATACTAGAAACCCCTAACCTGAATTCCATTCGCACTTGGCCATTTTTGCCAGAAAAAATGTAGACTATAACTTTAGCGAATTGCTACACAGGGACGCATACCTAAAGGACGAGTCAGAGCTGACAGACTAAGTTTGAGTAATGGAAGCTACCAGCGGTGTTCCAATTTCGGGGGAATTCCCACGTCGACGGACGTGAAGTACAAAGACAGATGAAACTTTAGGGCCTATGCATCCCACGTTTCTTGAAAGCACCGACGACGAGCATATCATGAATGTACATCGTCTGCTAATATTTTACGCCGATAAAGGACCTAACCTTTTGAATCAGCCACTGAGTAAAATTTAAAAATTAATATTGCCGATTTTTTCCAAATATTTACAAGCACAAACCACAGAAAAGCATTTTCATTACGATTCTAGAGTTAATAACCGAATTTTAACAAAAGAAATAAAACTAAATATTTTTTTGGCTAGATTTTTGAAAATGTTACCTATATAATGACTGCTTGCTTTAGTACTAAATATCGATACTAATGCGCGTTATGGACCCGTAAGTTATCGTGTGTCCGCCAACCCGCACTTGGCCAGCGTGGTGGACTATGGCCTGATCCCCCTCGTACTGAAGGGAGGCCCGTGCCCAGCAGTGGGACGTTAAAAAGGGCTGAATATAATACAAGTTATCGTGCGCATAGGCCCTTAAGACTACGTACTATACACGTATCTTTTATCTCATTGAAATTCGCATTAAGAAAAATTTCCGTGGTTTATAATTCAAAGTGTTTGAATTCCTATGTTTTCAAAATACGGAACCCTGAAAGAATAGAAAATTCTGAAATCGGTTAAATCTTTTTATTTTTTACCAGTTGAATTTAACATGTAAAAAGCGAAGTACAGATTAGTTTTCAACACAACACACAACTAGCGATCGACCCATTCGAGCCAATCAGCGGATTTTTAACGAACTGCCCAACTTGTCATTGAAAAACTTGTTTCCGGTACTTTTGTAATATTTTTTTTGTGTGTAAAATTTTTCCATTTCAAATGCCATATGTTGAAAAGCTAATTTTCCTGTTAAAGAACTACATATATCAACTATAACTACTAACGTACATTTTCGTTGACGTTATAAGAGTAAGTTTTTGAAGTTATACTTCTTTTAACACGATTGGAAAAAAATATGAGAGTAAAATTTCTACGTTGCTCGCGCACACCGACAGCCAAAAAGCGACATGATGAAGTTAGCTGCATTCCTTTTACAAACAGAGAGTTGTGACATACGGGATGAAATTTTTTTGTTATGCCAAGGAAGTATAACTTCTTACGTGCGTACACACACGTTTTTTTTATTATTGTCCAAATTATTATTTATCAAAGCATTACAATTTACAATATTATGGCCTTCTTTTATTATCACGAATAAATTTATTTAAATTTGGACGAAACGTTTAGAACCACCTCCAAGAAGGCATATTTCAGTAGCTTGCTGTTTATCGAAAAGAAAACAAATCCTAGACTATTCATACATATTAATAATAATATAAATTATTCATAAATTATAATTAATTCCAATAAAAATAGAAGTTATAGTATAATTAAGGTAAAATAATAAATAATTGTTCGAATCCATTCGTTGTCATTCTGAGAAATATGTATGTATGTGAGTTTAACCGTTATTTTATTTTAAGAGCCACGAAATAAAAGAATTGAATTGAATTTTATTTTAAGATTTAATTATATATTTAGTAGAGATGTGCCGACTAGTCGGCCACTTTTGTAGTCGGCGAATAGTCGGCAAAAAGGGCCGACTAGTCGGCTTCTTACTTTGTACGTATTTTTCAATCAATCCATCAAAATATACTTTATTCACATAGACTTTTACAAGCTCTTTTAAATAGTCATTTTTACATTATGAAAATAATGGTGC